CGGAGGAGATCGCTAAGGTGAAATCCATCGACGAGGCGATCAAGGCCAAGGCGGTGGAGGTGGAGGAGAAGCGCAAGGAGGTGGACGCGCGGGTGAAGGTGATCGGCAACCTGGTGCACGACTCCGTGCCCGTTCACGACGATGAGGACCACAACGCCGTCATTCGCACGTGGGGCGAGCCTCGCACGGACGAAGGGGTGAAGCGCAACCACGTGGATCTGGTGCACATGCTCGACATCGCGGACTTGGAGAGAGGTGCGCGCAGCGCCGTTTTTTTCCTCTGTTTTATTCTGTTGTAATGAGCATGTTACATCAGACTTACTCTTCGACCGCAACCACGTGGATCTTGTGCACATGCTGGAAATCGCATACTTGGAAAGAGGTTCGTCATTGGGTTCAGTGTCTCCTTGTAGTAATGAATGACACGCCTTGTTTCGCTTGGTTTGCAACCACGGGGATGTGGAGAACTCGATCGACATCACGGACTTGAACTGGTGTTATTATAATTATTCTTGTTTCCTTGTATGTTTCTAATAACAGGAGCCAGCACGGCGGGAGGGCGAGGTTACTACCTGAAGGGGATGGGCGTGATGCTGAACCAGGCGCTCATCAGCTTCGGCCTCTCGTTCCTCGTGCAGCGCCAGTTCACGCCGCTGCACACGCCCTTCTTCATGCGCAAGGAGGTCATGGCGGAGTGCGCGCAGCTCGCGCAATTCGACGAGGAGCTCTACAAGGTTCGTATCTATTTAACACGTCGGGAAATTCGGGAAATCAAGTTTGGAGGTCGAATTAGCCGTGCAAGTGGTTCGTTGGCTTCAGATTTCGTCTATTGTGCACATGTCCCACCATTTTGATTTTTTTTTTTTTTTTTTTTTTTTTTTTTTTTGCGTGGCCTCACGTATCACGTGCGCTTCTGCCTCCGCTCCGCGTTTGTTTGTTCAGGTGTCGGGGGAGGGTGACGACAAGTACCTGATCGCCACGTCGGAGCAGCCTCTGTGCACGTACCACCGAGGGGAGTGGCTCGACCCCAAGGCTCTTCCTCTCAGGTGACGCTCTTTCAGGCGCTCTCACTCACCCGCCTTCCTCGCTCCTCCTCCGTCTTCCTTCAGCCCTCTGCCGCCATCCCTTCTCCCCCACTCGGCCTCCCCATCCCGTTCCACCAACCCCTCCGTCTCTTCCTCTTTTTCACTTATAATCACCTTTGTGTCGGCGTCTCGTCGGCAGAAGCCCCCTCCTTTCTGCCACGTCCTTCTGCCGCAGGAGTACTGCCTTGGTGTTCTGTGATGATACACTATCCATGCTAATTCCGATGCCCGATAGGGTCGCATGGGGACCCACATGTTTTTTACTCTCTTACTGAGAACACCGAGGGGGATCAAGAGGTTTCACCATAGTACTGTACTGTGCTATGTTGTCCGTCAATTTCATGTTGCTTTTACTTCTGTCGAAATCTCGTTCTCAGGGCAGGTGGTCCAGTGATGTTACAAAACACCATGCTAATTCTGAACTCCGTCTAACGGAGTGTGCGGAAAAACATCTCAAACTCATGCTGAGGACCACCGGTTACTCCTGAATCGCCTAATTCTCATGCTCAGCTTGAATTGCTTGTCATTAGTGCTTGGTTCATTAGTCACCACGTATCTTCATCACTCTGTTCGTCGCTCACAGTGCACAAGTCTAGTCTGTCTGTCCCCTGGCCTGTCCCACTCTCCCCTCTTTGATCGCTTGTCCCATTCTCCCCTCTTTGATCGTCTGTTCCACTCTCCGCGCGGTTTCTTTCTGCTGGATTTACGCTGCTAGCTAGGTCTTTCGTCTGACCCTTCTGTTCACCTCATCCTCTCTCAGATATGCGGGGTACTCGACGTGTTTCCGCAAGGAGGCGGGGTCGCACGGGCGGGACACGCTGGGCATATTCCGCATCCACCAGTTTGAGAAGGTGGAGCAGTTCGCCATCACTAGCCCCAACGGCACCGACTCGTGGGACATGCACGAGCAGATGCTCAAGAACTCGGAGGAGTTTTACCAGCAGGTGCGTGCGTGGCTTGCTGAGGGTCTCAAGCTGAGGGACTCTGATGAGTGGACGGAATAGTCATTTGGAAGAACTGATTCGCCCCGTAGTATCTTGCATAAGCGCCTCTGGGTTCGGTTTCTGCCAAAAATGTTTTGTTGTTGGAGGGTTTGATTGTTCCTCCCTTTCATATCTTGCACTTTGCAAGTTGGCAGTAGCAGCAGCAGCAGCAGCAGCAGCAGGAGCAAGAGCCCGATGATGATCCTTGTCTTAACCACACTGAAGGACGTGTGCCAAGGGGTTGGCCTTCCCAGTCCCCGCTCCGCCCTCTCTCCTCGCCCGTCCCCTCCTCCTCAACCTCCTCCCTGTTGCTTCCGCCTCTCATCCATGTGCATTACCACCACCGCCTGTTCCTTTGTCTTGTTCCCATCATGCTCCCGCCTCCATTCATTGTCGTTTCTCCTGTGTGGGAGAGGGGAGGGGAGGCGGCGTGGCTAGTGCGGGTCCGCCCCTTGGGGTTGTGCACACTTGTGGAAAAACCTGGCTAGAACTGAGGGCTTGCTGCTGCTGCTTCGGATTCTTCATCTCTCTTCCTCCTCCCTGCCCTTCCACTCCTCTCCTTCATGCATAGTTGGTGTGAGTCTCGTTTCATTCTTTTCCAAGCTGCTGAACCTGTATCCCTTGAGCTTGTCTCCATGTGAACCTTCCGCCCTGTGTGGCTTTCCCCCATGTCACTCCCTCCCCTCGGCTCTTTCTCCCATCCCAGCTGGGTTTGCCGTACCGGGTGGTGGCCATAGTCTCAGGAGCGCTCAACGACAGTGCAGCCAAGAAATATGACCTTGAGGCATGGTTCCCGGCCTCCAAGACCTTCCGTGAGCTTGTCTCCTGCTCCAACTGCACTGACTACCAGGCCAGGCGCCTGGAGATCAGATACGGGCAGAAGAAGGTGGGTCGTGTGGTTTGTTGAAGGAGTAGCTGACTGTTAGGGAGGGGATTGAGGTTGCTTGCTAGCTCGTCTCCTGCTCCAACTGCACTGACTACTGGGCCAGGCGCCTCGAGACCAGACACGGGCAGAAGAATGTGGGTTCTGTGTGTGAAGTATGGTAAGTGAGAAGCTGATAGTGTTAAGGTGCTCCTATTTGTATCACTCCTTGTGATTGCGCTCAAAGAACTCATCTTACACATGCATCCCCTCTTGCCTGCCTCCTTCTGGCAGATGAATGAGACAACAAAGCACTACTGCCATCTCCTTAACAGCACTCTCACTGCCACAGAGCGCACTATCTGCTGCATCCTCGAGACCTATCAGACGGAGACAGGTGTCACCGTGCCAGAGGTGCTTCGGCCATTTATGATGGGTGTGGACTTCATCCCCTTTGTAAACGGACCCCCTAGTGCACCGGCGGATAAAAAAGCTGCCAAAGCAGGTGGGAAAAAGGAGAAGGGAGCGGGAGGAAAGAAAGCAGACGCCCCAGCTGCAGCGGCTGCTGTGAAGGAGACGGCGGATAAGCTTGCCGAAGCTGCAATTGATGGAGAGAAATAAGTGAATTCCACACTTATCAAGCTTGATCAACACCTTGTTGACTCTGGTTGGTGTTTGTTTGAATGCAGTGGGGCTTTATTATGAAATGCATTTGATGTTTGAAGTTCCTACTGAGATCAACATTCGAATGGCTGCAATGGGTTGACACGGTCTTTGCGTCTCCGTTCCCGGGCAAAAGCTCTTCACCTTGTGCTCAAGTTGCTCGGGAAAGTCTGTTTCGCTGTGTGCTTGGTTCTCATTTTGCCACTTCGGTTCAATAAACGCGAATCCTTCGTGAGCAGGGCTGTCGCTTGCAGGGCGTTTGCCCTGCTGGACCTTGAATTCCAGGGCTGGGTTGCCCTTGAAAACTGAAATTGATGGGTTGGAAATATTCTGGCCCTGATTCTTTACAGGGCTGATTTCGGGCTCAAGCCTGGTGTGTGAAGGGTAGATTTTGGGCGAGCCCTGGAAGAAAATATTTCGAGCCCCCCTTCTCCTCCCCTCCCCCCTCCCCCAACACTCCTCCCTCTCCTCTCCCCTTCGTTTCTAACCTGATTGCATCCAACTGGCAATTTTCGAGTTGCGCGGTTGGGCCACAAATTCAACTCAAACTACGTGAGAAAACTTGTGCTTGAACAAATCACAGCTCGCTCTCTGTGGAGTGGGTACCGGTAGAAGTGCACAAGAACTACCCTGTGGAGTGGGTAGAAGTGCCCAAGATCATCGGTTCTGCAAAGGCTATGAAGCCTGCAAAGCGTGCGTAGTGACATGACGCTAACTAATTCTCCTATGTCGTGTTGCTTGTGGTTGGTAGTTGAAATGAGGCTCCAGAATTTTCCGCGCCCAACCTGATTCAAGGGAGGAAAATTTTCCAGCCCTGAAGCCTAAAGGGCCGAGACTCGCCCCAATCCTGCTAAATACAGGGTCATACATGCAGGGCCCCCTGATTTGTCCGGGGGGCCCAAAACGAAACGACAGGCCTGTTCCTGAGCAACGAGTGTGCCGTGGCGTGGCACTCATCTCAACCGGACCACATCGGATTGAGTGCCTTACTAGTAGTCCCACCCGCAATCCTCACATTCCATTCACTGATCTTCCCATTCACCACCGACTTGCTTCACAAATCTGTGACATTCATTCTGCAACGGCTTCGCGTCTCGCTTCCAGCAGATTCTTCTCGCGTAGTCGTGCCGTTACGTCAGCGCTTAGTCAGACGTTCTTCTGGCTGCGGAATAGGCTTGAGTATCACCCTGCAGCTCCGTGATAAGTAGCTCTCGTACCTCCGACTTCGCCGTCGCTGACCGAATCGTGTCAACCAATCATACGCCTCGTATACTTTTTTTCTCGCAGGTATTTTGAGTATCTTCGCGAATCTGCTCTTGCCACGTGGCAAGAGCAAGCAGCACCAGGCTCGAAATGATGAATTTTCCTGGTAACACGGCTGACGATAATCATGCGCTGGACGAATCAATGGACACCATGGAAAGCCTGATGCTCAATCCGCCCGATCAGCATCCGACAAGTGGCATGCCATCTGGCATGGTCGGAGATTACAGCAGCATCTTATCCTCCAGCTCATCGCAGTTTTACACGTCAGATCCTCTCGGCCAATCCTGGAACCCGCCTCCCCTACCTACGGATTCCTCCCCCGTAACATCCGCCGCGTTTGGCGGGTTCCCTGACGTGGGCTTGGATCCGGCACCGCCGCCTTATCACGAGGCTCTGCAAGCGCCACGTGTCGGTGACGTCAGCAGCAGCGATATATTTTCAGGGTTAGGCTTATCCGCATCAGGCGGATTAGGAGGCTCGGATTTCGGGCTTGGCATGCCCGCAGGTGGCGCCGACATTCACGGCGGTCTTCCCGGGGGGGTCTTTCCAGGAGGCGTTGGGGGGTTCCCTGGTGGGAGTGGTGGGCTAGAAGCGGCATCTGCGGCGGCAAATGCGGCGTCTCTTACGGGGCCAGTGGTTGGCACAGTACCAGGCCAAGTGGCTGGCGAAAATGGCGGCGCCGGCGGCGGTGGTGGTAAAGGACAAGGGATGCCGCCCGATTTCATAGACGTGAGAGTAGTGGGTTCCAAGAAGCTTCAGGAGGCGGGCGGCTCCATGATTCCCGGAGGGGGTTCTTACGTGGCATATGTGATTGAAACGAAGACGAATGTGCCTGAATACGGTGCCCCGTCTGCCCGCGTGGAGAGAAGATTCCGCGAGTTTGTCGCCCTGGCTGACAGGTACACAGGTTTGGTTCTGCTCGGTTCTGTTCGGCTCTGTCCGGTTCGGTTCTGCTCCCTTCTGGTGTCAGTGCTGCTGCTAATCTTGTGCGGCCGGACAAGAACGAGGTGGAGAGTCAGGTGCTCCAGGGGGCGGACTCAAATTTCCCCCTCTGTTCCCCCTGCCCCGTCCGCTCTTCTCTTTCTTCCCGTTCTTCCTTCTCCTCCCTTGACCAGATTGGCCGAGACCCACCGCGGGTACTTCATTCCGGTGCGGCCGGACAAGGACGTGGTGGGGAGCCAGGTGCTGCAGGGGACGGAGGGGACTCAATTCTGACCGTCCTGTCATCCCTCCCTTTTCCAGACTCGCAGAGACGCATCGCGGGTACTTCATCCCGGTGCGGCCCGATAAGAACGTGGTGGAGAGCCAGGTGCTGCAGGGGACGGAGGGGACTCAATTCTGACCGTCCTGTGCTCCCTCCCTTTTCCAGACTCGCAGAGACGCATCGCGGGTACTTCATCCCGGTGCGGCCCGATAAGAACGTGGTGGAGAGCCAGGTGCTGCAGGGGACGGAGGGGACTCAATTCTGACCGTCCTGTGCTCCCTCCCTTTTCCAGACTCGCAGAGACGCATCGCGGGTACTTCATCCCGGTGCGGCCGGACAAGAACGTGGTGGAGAGTCAGGTGCTGCAGGGGACGGAGTTTGTGAAGACGAGGCAGGTGGAGCTCGATAAATACGTGCAGCGTCTAGCACGGCACCCTGCAATTCGCAGGTACGTGTGTGCAGCCGCTAGAGTTCCTCCTGAGTCAGGTGCTGCAGGGGGCGGAGTTTGTGAAGTCGAGGCAGGTGGAGCTCGACAAGTACGTGCAGCGCCTCGCACGCCACCCTGCGATTCGCAGGTGAGTGTGAGGGAGTGGTCTTTTGACGTCTCTTCACTTGTGAGTCCACTGTACGGGCAGGTAGAGGTGGGTGGACAGCCAGGTGCTGCAGGGGGCGGAGTTTGTGAAGACGAGGCAGGTGGAGTGGAGCTCGACAAATACGCGCAGCGCCTGGCGCGGCACCCTGCGATTTGTAGGTATGTGTCTGTGAGTGGTCTGTTGTTGCTGAGCCCACTTGTGAGTTTGTGAAGACGAGGCAGGTGGAGTGGAGCTCGATAAGTACGTGCAGCGCCTGGCCCACCACCCTGCGATTCGCAGGTGCGTTTGAGTGGCCCTTGGAGTTGCCTCGACACCCTTTGATTCCACATCTGAGTCGGCTCCCCACATCTGAGTCGGCTCCCCCCTTCTTAGTCGGCTCCCCACATCTGAGTCGGCTCCCCCCTTCTGAGTCGGCTCCCCACATCTGAGTCGGCTCCCCCCTTCTGAGTCGGCTCCCCCCTTCTGAGTCGGCTCCCCACTTCTGAGTTGCCATGCCACAACAGCTTTTGAGTCGCCTGAAGAGGCAGGCAGGTGGATAAGTGCGTGCAGCGCAGCGCCTGGCATGGCATGGCTCCGCGCCATCCGCAGGTATGGAATGAGTATTGTCAGTTGTCGGATGAGTGAGTGGGATGAGTGGTAGCAGTGGGTACGGTAGGGTGTTTATCCGGAGCCGGACAAAGTATGCTATTTTTGAGGCGCCTCAAAAATCGCCTCAGTGGGTACGGTAGGGTGTTTATCTCAAGCCGGACAAAGAATGCGCAACATCTGGCCCACCACCCCACAAGCACGTGCGGTCCTGACTACCCTTTCCTCCTGCACAACACAATCCCACCCCCATCCCCCCCCCCCCCCCCAACCCCCCCTCGTGCCTCCCTGTTTCCCCCTCCGCAGGAGCGCAGATTCGATTTCCTTCCTGACTTTTCTCCCTTCCCCCCGCCATTCCTCCACTCTCTTCCCCCCATTTCCCCCTCTGCAGGAGCACGGATTTGATTTCCTTCCTGACGTCGTCAGAGAGATTCCAGCCCGCCACGTCAGTAGACATCGCTTCCCGCGTGCTGGAAGGTGCCGTGAAGCTTCCCCAGCAGCTGTTTGGGGCGGCAGACTCCATCACGCCGGCAGAAGCTGCCAAACCGGCGGGCGGCGGGAGGAACCTTCTGAGAATGTTCAAGGAGTTTGGGCAGTCCGTGGCAAACGATTGGACGGGCAAGCCGCCAGCTGTCAGTGGATCCACGTCAGCATCAGCAGGGGGTGGAGGAGCCGGAGGAGGAGGAACGTCCACGTCAGCATTGGAAGCAGGAGCAGGAGCGGGAGCAACAGACGAAGAACCTGGAAATCCCGGCGGAAAACGACAAACGGCGCCGACCGCAGCGGAGGTCGAGGCGGACGAGGCGCGGTTCGGTTCGGCCCGAGCCAAGCTGGCAGACCTGGACAAGCACCTTGCCGAGGCTACAGCCGGCGCGGTGGGAATGATGCAGGCCCAGGACGGCTGTAGCCGCATTGTGGGGTCCCTGGGGATCACGTTCGGGTCATTGGCTAAGCTGCAGGGGCAGCGCCTGGCGGATGGGGGTGCGGGGGGGGCAGGGGGAGGCGCAGGGGGAGGGGGAGGGGGAGGGGGAGGCGGAGGGGGAGGGGGAAGTACAGCAGGAGGGGGGGCGGAAGGGGGAACTGGGTCGGAGGCAGTGGGAGGAGGCGGGGATAAGGGGGTGGGGCAACGGGAGCGGGCGTTTGTGGCGGAGTGTCAGAGCATGGGCAAGGGCATGGTGCGCAGTGCTCAGTTGTTACACAGTGTGGTGGAGCGGAACAAACGCACTCTGGTGAGACTGCAGGGTTGGGTTGGGTTGGGCTGGGTTTTCTGTGATAGCTCCACATGTTGTGAGAGCGTGGGCAAGGGCATGGTGTGGAGTGCTCAGTTGTTACACAGCGTGGTGGAGAGAAACAAACGCACTCTGGTGAGATGGGCTGGGCTGGGTTGGGCTGTGTTGGTCTGGGCCGGCGAGATACATGAATGGCTGTGGGCCTGTTGGGTTGGGCCGGCGAGATACATGAATGGCTGTGGGCCTGTTGGGTTGGGCCGGCGAGATACATGAATGGCTGTGGGCCTTGACATGCGACATGCCACTCTGCGTTAGAGACACATGTCAACCCTTTCCCCACCTCTCCCACCTCCGTCCCCCCGCTCCCACCTCTCTCCCCCTGCCCCCGCGCTCCCACCTCTCCTACCTCTGCCCCCGCGCTCCCACCTCTCTCCCTCTGCCCCCCGCTCCCACCTCTCCTACCTCTGCCCCCGCGCTCCCACCTCTCTCCCCCTGCCCCCGCGCTCCCACCTCTCCTACCTCTGCCCCCGCGCTCCTACCTCTCCTACCTCTGCCCCCGCGCTCCTACCTCTGCCCCCGCGCTCCCACCTCTCTCCCTCTGCCCCCCGCTCCCACCTCTCCTACCTCTGCCCCCGCGCTCCCACCTCTCTCCCCCTGCCCCCGCGCTCCCACCTCTCCTACCTCTGCCCCCGCGCTCCCACCTCTCTCCCGCTGGCCCCCGCCCTGTCTTATCCGCACCAGTCCATCCTCCTCGAGTATCACAAAACAACGGCTGCCGCCCGGACGGCCCTTGCGGACCGGTCCCAGGCGCTGCTGACGTGGCAGACGCTGGAGAGCGATCTGGGCGGCAAGAAGACAAAGCTGGACCGGTTAGGGTCGGTGGACGGATCAGATCCCGCCAAGCAGAAGAAGGCTCAGGAGCTTCAGAGGGAGATTCAGGCGCTGGAGAAGGCTAAAGAGGCTGCTATTAACGAGTACAAGAAGATCACTGTGAGTTCATGCGCACTTCTAAGTCGATTCAAAAGGCTAGAGAGGCTGCTTTTAACGAGCTCAGGGAGATCACTGCTAGTCCATCATATCATGTTTCTTCAACGTCAGAAGCACCTTTGTTTTTTGAGACGTCTCAAAAGTCAACGTCAGAAGCACCTTTGTTTCTTTCAAGCCCAGCCACCTGCACGTCACGCTCTCACACCTTTCTTTTGTTGCCCACTGGTATCAGTGATAATTTCTTACTGATATCACCATTCTCACAGGACTGCTGTGCCCCAAGCTGGTCTCCATTTTCACGTTTCTCCACCCTCACTCCCACCCCCACTAACAGGAGCGCAACACATCAGAGCTGCAGCGGTTTGAGAGCGAGAGGAAGCAGGGCCGCCTATGTCTTGATTCTGCTTTTCATTCCCTCCCTCGCGCCCTGTTGCCCCCTCCCTTCCCTTCACCCACAGGAGCGCAACACAGCAGAGCTGCAGCGGTTTGAAAGTGAGAGGAAGCAGGAGTTTCTCGCAATGCTGGGCAATTTCGTTCAAGACCAGGTGTGTGTGCTGCAATCCTGTGTTTCTCTCCTTGGATTGTTGGGCGTTGAGAGTCGGGAGGAGTGGGGACGAGTTGGGAGGATTGGAGGGGAGTTAGGAAGGAGTTGGTGGGGAGCCGGGAGTTGGGTGTCAGGGGTGAAACTTCAGTTGCAAGATTTTTCCAGATGCTGTATTCCCCGTGTCTCCATGCATGCATACATGCATGCATACACCCATTCATCCCTCCATGCATTCTTTTACATTCATCCCTCCAGGTGCTATGTGCACAGAAGATGGCAGCAATATGGGCACCAGTGGGGGAGGATCGCCCATGTTAGTCAATAGCCTCATTCAACTGCTCTCTTCAAGCCAATAGCCATGCTTGCCATGCCATAGTGTGCGAGTGCCATAGTGTGCGAGTGCCATAGTGTGCGAGTGCCATAGTGTGCGAGTGCCATAGTGTGCGAGTGCCAAAGTGTGCGAGTGCCGTAGTGCCACCTGTACGTCGATGTCAGTTCAATTCAAACAGATAGTACTGGTGCCAATTACAGGTACCAGTGTGTGAGGTGAGACGGTTTTCTAGGTGCCTCAAATATACTGCCAGCCATTAGCCATAGGTTCGGCAGCTAGAATGGGAAAATGTTGTTGCTAGATACAACTGTAATCAGCCGTATTACAGGGACTGGTAATACAGACATTACTCCGCAACGCTTGGTGCTTGTGGTAGTGAGCTGTGTTGTGTTTTTTAGACATCTCAAAACCACCCACTTTACACGTATTACAGTGTCAGAATCCCAGCCACTAACCACTGGGATAAAAGGGCTTGTTTGTGTAGCGGGTGAGTGCACCCATAACCCCCCAGGCCAACGTGTCTGTAACCCTTCCCTAGGATCAATCGGGGATCACCAGTGGACCTCTGACATACAGGGACTGTATTACAGACATCACTAGGCAACGCTTGGTGCTTGTGGCAGTTGTGAAGCGAGCACTGTTCATTGTGTTTGGCTTTAGCTGACAAGTTATGCCAAGGTTATCCAACCAGCCATTACTCTTGGCATTTGAAGGTATGTGATGTGATGGATACTAGAGCACGAGCTGTACTAGACGATGAAGAACCCTGCTCTGCTCGATAAGCAAATATGTCAGGGTGACTTTTGAGTCGACTCAGAAGTCACCATGAGCTGTACTAGACGGTGCTCTGCTCGATAAGCAAATATTTCCGGTTCATGTCGCATGCAGCATGCCGTCGTGGTGGTGCTCTAATATTACGATATTGCCGCACAGAAACCGTAAGGCACGTGGGTGTGATGTCATCTATAGACCCTGATGGGGGGATGGACAAAGGAGGATTGAGAGAGGGAGGAAGGGCGTAAGGAGTGTGTAGATGTATGTATGGTGTGGGCACTCTGTATGGACGAGGGGTCATGACCGAGAGGAGAGAACAAGTGTGGCAAGGAGCAGTGCAATGCTGGTGACTTTTGAACTGACTCGAAAGGCACTGCGTATGGGCGAAAGTCACAGGCCATATCCGGGGGGAGGAGTGTGGCCAGAAGCTGTGAGCAATGCTGGTGTTGGTAACCCTTCTTCCCGTATTCGTGTTGTGTTGGTGTTGAGATTCTCACATCCACCATCATCTTCCTCCCACCTCCCATTCTTTCCTCCGCTCCCTTCCCATCCTCCAAACCACCAACCACCCAGACACCCTCCCACTCACCGCCCATCGGCGCGCTTTTCCCCCTGAATGGTAATGCACAGCTGCCTTGCGCCCCCGTAGTTACGGTGCTCATTCAGATATATGCCCTGCCGTGTTGTGTTGGGATCATGGTGGAAATTCGGTTCCAAGTGGTACAAAGGGAGGAGGGGAGGAGGGACAGGGTGACACACAGAAGCTGCCTCGCGCCCCCGCAGTTACTGTGCTCATTCAGATATAAGCCCTGCCGTGTTGTGTTGGGATCATGACAACAGACAGTGGTTCAAGAAGAAAGTCGTTTAAAAGGGGGAGAGGAGGAGGAGGAACAGGGTGATCTCACACACAGAAGCTGCCTTTCGAGTCGACTCAAAAATCGACTCATCTCACGAGAGGAGGAGGAACAGGGTGATCTGACACACAGAAGCTGCCTTTCGAGTCAACTCAAAAATCGACTCATCTCACGAGAGGAGGAGGAACAGGGTGATCTGACACACAGAAGCTGCCTTTTGAGTCGACTCAAAAATCGACTCATCTCACGAGAGGAGGAGGAACAGGGTGATCTGACACACAGAAGCTGCCTTTCGAGTCGACTCAAAAATCGACTCATCTCACGAGAGGAGGAGGAACAGGGTGATCTGACACACAGAAACTGCCTCGCCTACAGAAAGATGAACCTCATTGCAACAGACTTCGTAGTTGCGGTGCTTGTTAAGATAAATGCACCCCCGGTTACCACACATGCTTGTGCATGGATTGCAGTGCTTGTGCATGGATTGCAGTGCTTGTGCATGGATTGCAGTGCTTGTGCATGGATTGCAGTGCTTGTGCATGGATTGCAGTGCTTGTGCATGGATTGCAGTGCTTGTGCATGGATTGCAGTGCTTGTGCATGGATTGCAGTGCTTGTGCATGGATTGCAGTGCTTGTGCATGGATTGCAGTGCTTGTGCATGGATTGCAGTGCTTGTGCATGGATTGCAGTGCTTGTGCATGGATTGCAGTGCTTGTGCATGGATTGCAGTGCTTGTGCACCCGATGAGGACTATGCTCAAGCTTGTTCCGCCATGCTGCTCATACCTGTCTGATTAACAAAGCGGCTTCTAACGAGTACAAGAGACCTACCTGCCATGTGCCGAGCTTGAAGCGACCAGCCATGATGGGGACGGTGAGGGAACAGCCCATTAGCGAGGACTTGACGTGGGCTGGGGGGAATATGGGGAAGAAGAAACGGGTCGTGGCAGCACGGAGTGGAGGAATGGGCAACAGACGGAGAATGCGGAGGGGGGAGGAAAGGGAGACAGAGGGAGGAAGTGGAGGAGGGAGGAAAGGAAAGAAAGAGAGTGGGAGGGCTGACCAAGTCGTCATATCCCTCGTTCAGGTGGCGGTAATGGTTGCGCTTTGGTGCAATGCGGTTGAGAGCGATAAGGTGCAACGGGGGAGCAAATGGGGTGGGAGGGGAGGAGGAACACACCCGGCATGTCGTCGTAGCCCTCGTCCAAGTGGCGGTAATGGTTGCCCTCCGGTGCAATGCGGTTGAGAGCGTCTTCCATGTCCAGAGGCACGTCTGGGCTGGCGTTCTCGTTGATGGTGAGGCTGGCTGACGTGTGCAGCACTGGGGGGTGCGGCGGGGGGGGGGGGGGGGGGGGGGGGGGGGGGGGGGGGGGAGGGAGGGGAGGATATGGAGGAGGCCGCAAGGGAAAGTCCCTGTTTCCCATGATGAGAGGCACGTGTGGGCTGGCATTCTCGTTGATGGTGAGGCTGGCTGACGTGTGCAGCACTGGGGTGAGAGGGGGTGGGTGGGGGGGTGGTGGGGGGGTGGTGGGGGGTGGTGGGGGGGGGGGTGGTGGGGGGCTGACAAGGGGAAGTTCGGCGCCTAACGAGCGCGCTGAAACTTCCGATGGACTTTGAAACCAAACCACCAGCTCCAAGAGATTCGCTCTAAAGTTGTAAAAAGAAACGCCTGACTCGACGAAAATATTTCTTAGCTCTGAAACAGCAGCTCACCGAAGATATTTGCGATGCCGACCCGGAACTCGGCGATCTCTGGCACGGCCCGCATGATCTGCGACGTGATGATGTGGCAGCCTCTGATTGGCGCGGGAATGGGGGCATGGGGGAGGAAGGGGGGAGGAAGGGGGGAGATAAGCGGATGTGAGTAGAGTGGGGGAGTGAGAGGAGGGGGGAAGGCGAGGGGGAGGAGGGTGGAAGGAGAGAGAAGGGGGGAAAGAGAGAGAGAGACCGGAAAGGAGATCTAGTGCTAAATGTGTCGATGGTAGGTCCGAAAACTGTAGAAAGTCACGAGACATGTGAATGTGAATGCTGAATGTAGGAAAAGTGCAGGAGGTCTCGCCACGTGTAGTTTTGAGGCGCCTCAAAACTAGTCTCGCCACGTGTACCGTTTGTAGGGCGGCAGCTCGATTGTCTTCTGGACCCACACCGTCTTCCCCGCCGTTTCCGCCGCCGCGGTTGCCTGGGAGGCGGAGGAGGCGGAGGGGGAAGAGGAGCCGAAGAGCGATGCGGACACGCGGGTGCGGCGGGAGTGACTGGCGCGATGGCGGATTCTCAATGGCGCGGGGGACGGAAATGCGGAGGCGGGGACAAGCGCGGAGAGGTGGGGGATTCGCGCGGCATCCGCGGCGGCGGAGTGAAGCGCGCCGAGCGCGACGGAATGAGTCGTGCCGAGCGCGACGGCGGGTGAAGCCATGGCAGGGTGGCTGGAGAAAGTGAGATAAACGAGATAGGCGCTACTTACAGCGTTTGATTTATGAGAATTCTAAAAAAAGCTAACTTTACTCGTGCGGGACGAGTCACAGGAACCAGAAACACGCCGACGATCTTTCGAATTCCTGAAAACAGGGCTCCTGGGGAAATGGTGATCGCTGGTGGTGGTGGTGGTGTGGTGTGTGATTTGTGCGTGGTTGAATGCGATTCGTTTTGAAGGGCAGAAAAGCATGCAATAGCGAGTATGCGGTGGTGTTTTCCCACACGCTTCCATCACTCTATTGATAAATAGAAATTTGAATACAGAACATAATGAATCTCCAATAATGCTCTCGCTTGGATAATTGCGAATCTTACGATCAAATCACCGCGCTTTTCGAGGCGCCGCCACAAGCGCCACGTCGCGCATGGTGCCTCCCGCGATTGCCGTCGCAGCTGCTGCGGCTCGGCTCGCGCCGCCCCTCCTCGCCCTAATTCTCAATTGTCCCATTCTTCCCTTCGGTCCCCTCGGTCCTCTCGCCCCCCGTCGAACCTCGCCGTTGCCGGATCCCCGTTTAAATTCCAGCCTAAACACATTCACCGCACTTCCTTCCACTAGAACTTCGTTACAGTCCCGCTCGTTACAGTCTCGCGCTTGCATGGCGCCTCCCGAGTCGCTGATCTCCGCGGAAGCCCCCGCCATCGGCGGAGACGGCGGAGACTCCGAGTCGCGCGCGATTCCATGGGGCCACCCGGAGCGGCTCGACCTGGCGATGGGCTCGCTGGTGGACGACAAAACGCGGCTCCGCAAGGACGTGAAGAAGGCGCTTCGAGGACTGACGGAGGAGCAACGCGCGGCTGAAGGTAAACCTCACTCGCACTCCCCCTTCCCGCCACCACCCCTCCCAACCCCACTCCACCCCTTTCCACCGCACTTATTCTTGCGCCCCATTCCCCTCACTCCCCCGCTCCTGACCTCCCTTGCCCCAATTCTGCCTACACATTTTCCCTGCTCTCCCTCTCCCCTTCCCTCCTCCCTCCATCTCTCCCCACCTCCTCACCTCCGCTCTTCCTCCCTCAACCCCCCCATATCTCCCTTCCTTTCCTCCTTCCTCCTTCAACCCTCTCTATCTCTCTGATCTCTTCTGCGCAGATGTGGCTGTGCAGCGCCACGTGTTGCAAGCTGATTGGTTCAGATCCGCCCAGCGCGTGGCTGCTTACATCAGCTGCCGGAAATTACGGGAGGTGGAGACTGCTGACGTCATCAGCGACCTGCTAGGAAGAGGATGTGAGAAGGGAGGTGTGGGAGTGAGAGGAAGGGAAAGGCGGGAAGGGGGAAGGGAAGAGGGGAGGGAAAGGAAGGGGAGGGAAGCAGAGAGTAGGGGAGGGAAGAGGAGGGAAGGGGGGAGAGTAGAAGGAAAGGGAGGGAAGCGGAGAGAGGGGGACGTCTCGTCCTTGCGTTCTCATTCTCAGCTTATGGCCTTCTCAACCAATCATCCCTCTCCTACGCCCCCCCTCTCCCCCTCTCCTCCTTCGCGTCGCAGCCAGTGTGTTTGTGCCACGTGTCATGGACAGCGAGAGCCACATGGTCCTGCTGAAAATCAACTCCGTGCAGGTGGTGGGGGAGGGGCGGGGAGAGGGTATTGGGAAGTGGGAGAACGAGCAGGAGCAAGGAGGTGCAGCAGCAGCAGAGGGGGACTTGGAGCGCAATGGGATGGGAATGCTGGAGCCCACCCTGACCCTCGAAGATGGACGGCCACGATCCAACGGTGAGATCACATTCTAGGCTCAACTTGGTATTGCTCTTGTTCTTGTTTCCTCTCGCCAATAAGCTGTATTGACTGACGCCGTTGTTCTCCCCTCTTTGCCAGTTACTCTGCCCACTCTCGTAATCCTTAAGGCATTTGTGCTTTCACCTAAGGGATCCTGTGATCCCACTTGTTGCCGCCTCCCTTCCACGGCTCATCTCATCCCCATCTACAGTGTACAGTGAACAGGAGCCGTTGGATCTGATTCTCGTGCCGGGGTTGGCGTTTGATCGCAGTGGTGGGAGGCTGGGGCGAGGAGGAGGGTGAGTCACTCCCTCTCTCAGCTTCTCCCCCCTGGCCCCTCTGTCTCCCCCTGGCCCCTCTGTCTCCCCCTGGCCCCTCTGTCTCCCCCTGGCCCCTCTTTCTCCCCCTGGCCCCTCTTTCTCCCCCTGGCCCCTCTTTTCTCCCCTCCTCCCCCCCCCCGCACCCACACCCCCCAATCCCCCACTGCCGATCCTTTTCTGAAGCACTTCTCAGTTCCTCGAGTTTTGAGTCGACTCAAAACTTCCTTCTGCCCATCTCTCATGCCGCACGCAAGATTCTTCCTCTCCCCATCTAATTTCGAGTCAACTTAATAATTTAGAAAATCCTCTCCCAGTCGCTGTTGACACACATTCCTCCTTTCCATCCCTTGGCACTTGTTTCTCACATCACCATACCCCTTATTGCATGCCTCACCAACAGGTACTACGACGTGTTTCTCTCGCAGTACATGGCGCATGCCCAGGCCAAACAGTGGAAGCAGCCGCTCATAGGTGCGCCCCTGCTTACTGTTAGCTTTTTTTCTTGGGGCCTCAAATCAAGTATATTGGTACGCTCTCTCGCAGTACATGGCGCATGCCCAGGCCAAACAGTGGAAGCAGCCGCTCATAGGTGCGCCCCTGCTTACTGTTAGCTTTTTTTCTTGGGGCCTCAAATCAAGTATATTGGTACGCTCTCTCGCAGTACATGGCGCATGCCCAGGCCAAACAGTGGAAGCAGCCGCTCATAGGTGCGCCCCTGCTTACTGTTAGCTTTTTTTCTTGGGGCCTCAAATCAAGTATATTGGTACGCTCTCTCGCAGTACATGGCGCATGCCCAGGCCAAACAGTGGAAGCAGCCGCTCATAGGTGCGCCCCTGCTTACTGTTAGCTTTTTTTCTTGGGGCCTCAAATCAAGTATATTGGTACGCTCTCTCGCAGTACATGGCGCATGCCCAGGCCAAACAGTGGAAGCAGCCGCTCATAGGTACGCCCCTGCTCCCGCTTAAGCTGTAATGTTGGGACACTTCAAACATAAGTGCGCTCTCTTAGCGTTACAAGGTGACTTTTGACTCGACTCAAAAGAAGTGGAAACAACTGCTCAGTTGACTTTTGAGTCGACTCAAAAGTCAACTCATAGGTACGCTCCTGTTTCCACCTACATTTCACAGTACAATTTGTCTTGTCACCTTCAACTGTCACTCAAAGGTATGGCTCGCTTGCCAGTAACTAACCGCGCCAAATTCCCATTCCCTTCCTGGTACCACTGCTGTGGCATTGGTGTACACGGCTTGGACTTCCTGACTTGTCTCTCTCTCCCCACTTCCCACCCCAACACCCCCTTCCCCCCTTTCCCCCCTCCCACCTACACCCCACTACAGTGGCTCTGTTCTGGCCTACAAGGTGCGAATTCTCTCCTCGCCCCTTCCTATGTGGGCATCTGACGTTCCCATTAGTGGCATCCTGTGTGTGTGCTTGCACCGCAGTAAACCACATCTAACAGGATTGGACTCCTTTCCCTCTTCCCCCCTTGTGAACATCCCTCCACAGTGGCACTGGCCTACAAGGCGCAGATTCTCTCCTTGCCGCTGCCCATGGAGACATCTGACGTTCCCGTTAGTGGTGTCGTGTGCGCCGATGGCTTCCTTGCACCGCATTGAACTGCAGATAAATTGGGACCGCATTAAGCCGCTTATATGTATGCTACCGTGCCTCAAGCACTTGTGTTCTATCCGTGTTAGTAAAGCGGTGCGTGATGACAAGCTGTGGAACGCGCCATATTCATCACGGCACCAGGCCGCACATTGAGCAATTGCAGTTCATACTAAAAACAGAAAAGAAATCACAATCATCGCGAACGTAGCATTCAACATGGTACAATAGAGCAAGTTATTTTGAATTCATCTTACATTTGTCTTTTTTTTTTGTCAGCGTTTTCTGAAATAAGTCACAGCTAAAACAAGAGAAAATAAAATCTAATTTTATCACTGACTATGTAGCCTAGTCATTACAAAACATTTTTTAGATTAGGAAGGTCACAGGTTCCAATTCCAACCAGCCTGCGAGCCCGCCAGCCCATACTGCATTCACCTGTTTTGCCTCCTCTTCCCAACCTTATTTATATCCATCCCTTCAGTATGCTCTTTCCTTAAATGGTTTCACTACGGTATATGATGTTGACATTACATGGGAAAGAAGCAAGGCAACCAAGGTGCACTACCATGACAAAGTTAATAACTACACTACAGTATATCCTACAGGCAGTTATACAACGGAACATATTATAATCAGACAGGCAGCTAGGTTATTTGGGCAGCACTTCCCCTTCCAGCTCCCTCAGCCGCATCTCACTCTCCATGTCCAGCACACTTGAGAGGGCCTTTCCCCCTTAGGCCTGCTGCTTCACAGTTGTTGCATTGACTTGCGAGGCAGGTCGCTTGGGTATAACTCCCCCTCTTCCAGCTCCCCCCTTGGGTATCTCACTTGGGCAGCACCCCCCCTTCCATCTCACTTGGGCAGCACCCCCCCTTCCATCTCACTTGGGCAGCACCCCCCCTTCCATCTCACTTGGGCAGCACCCCCCCTTCCATCTCACTTGGGCAGCACCCCCCCTTCCATTTCACTTGGGCAGCACCCCCCCTTCCATCTCACTTGGGCAGCACCCCCCCTTCCATATCACTTGGGCAGCACCCCCCCTTCCATCTCACTTGGGCAGCACCCCCCCTTCCATATCACTTGGGCAGCACCCCCTCTTCCATCTCACTTGGGCAGCACCCCCCCTTCCATTTCACTTGGGCAGCACCCCCCCTTCCATCTCACTTGGGCAGCACCCCCCTTCCATCTCACTTGGGCAGCACCCCCCCTTCCATCTCACTTGGGCAGCACCCCCCCTTCCATCTCACTTGGGCAGCACCCCCCCTTCCATTTCACTTGGGCAGCACCCCCCCTTCCATCTCACTTGGGCAGCACCCCCCCTTCCATCTCACTTGGGCAGCACCCCCCCTTCCATCTCACTTGGGCAGCACCCCCCCTTCCATCTCACTTGGGCAGCACCCCCCCTTCCATATCACTTGGGCAGCACCCCCCCTTCCATCTCACTTGGGCAGCACCCCCCCTTCCATCTCACTTGGGCAGCACCCCCCCTTCCATCTCACTTGGGCAGCACCCCCCCTTCCATCTCACTTGGGCAGCACCCCTCCTTCCAGCTCCCTCAGCCGCATCTCACTCTCCACATCCAACACAGTCAGGCAGTCCAGAAGCTTCCTTGTCTCTTCCTGCAGACCCCAACAGAAAGTGATCACAAGACGCAGCACAAGGGGAGGGGGAGGGGAGGCAGTGGGGATTGCAGTATGTGTGAACCTGTACGTTCTGAGTAAACAGACCATGTATCTCTCACACATCGCTCCTCTCACTCTCACTCCACTCTCTCCCTCTCATCCTCTTCTCCTCTCTCTCACCTCTCTCCCACTCACCTACCCCACAGGCCTCACCCCCTCCCCTCACCTACCATGCTCGCTTCATCTGGTCAGTCGGCGCCAGCTGCCTGGGCAAGCGAAACGCACTGCCTGGGCAAGCGAAACGCACTGCCTGGGCAAGCGAAACGCACTGCCGGGGCAAGCAAAACGCACTGCCTGGGCAAGCGAAACGCACTGCCTGGGCAAGCGAAACGCACTGCCTGGGCAAGCGAAACGCACTGCCTTTTGAGTCGACTCAAAAGTCAGCTGCCTGGGCAAGCGAAACGCACTGCCTGGGCAAGCGAAACGCACTGCCACCACCCTCTCCCTTCTCTCGTTTCTCTCAAGCAAGTCACCTGCCCCACCTCCCTTCTCACCTGTCGTGCGCGTTTCATCTGGTCATTCGTTGTCAGCTGCCTCGGCAAGCGAAACGCACTGCCACCACTTCCACTGCCACTCGCACCCACAGCCGCATGGGGCGAGCTTAAGGGCGAGCCCCCCGCGCTAGCAGAGCTAGCTCTAGAAGAACTCTTCAGCCGCTGCAGCTCCTTGGTTGGCGTCACAAACACTGAGAGAGGCGGCAGCGGCGACGGCACACCAAGAAAAGAAGCCTCCCCTTCAGCTGCTTCTGCTTCTGCTGCTGCTGCTGCTGCTGCTGCTGCTGCTGCTGCTGCTGCTGCTGCCGCGGCTGCAGATGCTGCCTCCTGCGCCTCGAGAGGGTCTATCTGCGCTTCAAACTCGCGCCACACTTCGTCCAGGTCTCCCGATTCACCCCCACTCGACCCCATCCTTTGCACACACTCTTCCACCCCCAACTCCTTCTGCTCTTCATGCCCATGCATCTCTGGATTCTCGTGCGACCCTTCCGCTTCTGCATCCCCTCCCGCACCCCCATTCACCTTCCCATCCAGAAGCCCTGCATTCCCCTCACCCTCCTCCTTCTCTCCCTCATTCCCTTCTCCTCTCCTTTCTCTCCACCCTCCTTTCTCTTCTCTCCTTTCTCTTCACCCTCCCTCTCGCCCTTCTCCCCGCCCTCCTCGGTTTTCCCCCCCTCCACCTGCACCTCCACCTCATCCCCCTTTTTCTCCTCCTCATCACACTCCTCCACTGTTTCCTCCTCTTCCCTTCTCTGCCCCTCCCTCTCCTCCGTTTGCCCCTCCTTTTCGCCCTCCCCCGCCTCCCCCTTCTCCGCCTCCTCCTCCTCCTCCTCCATCTTCCCTCCATTCACAACCATGTGCCCCTCCTCCCTCCCGCCCGCCCCACCATCCCCCCTCCTCTCCTGGCTCCCCTCACATTCCTCATCCTTTCCCTCATTCCTCTCCTCCTCTTCCGACGTAGCCAACCTCTCTTCCTCCTCCCCCCTCTTCTCCTCTTCCCTGCCTTCCTGCTCCGTATTACCATTTCCAGACTCTGCAGCAGTGCGTGACTCTTTCTCCACCTCACTGCACGCCTCATCACCACTCTCAACGCAAACTGGCCCATCCCCATGACACCCCAGGCCCTCTTCTTCCACCAGCTCACCTCCTTCATCCCCCACACCACTCTCACCTCCCTCATCGTCCCCCTTGGAATCTTCATCCCCCTCAATGCTCCCTGCTACCCTTATGTCCAACCTCCCCACATCTAAGCCGCCCACGTCGTTTTCATTCTCTGACAGACAAAAAGGATCTCCGTCCTTTTCATCATCAACCCCCCTTCCAACTGGCAAAGAATCATCCTCCCTGTTTGCCTCGCAAAGACTCTCGCCCTGCCCATCATATTCCACCTTCTCACCCCCTCCTCCTCCTCCTCCTCCACCTCCCATTTCCTCCGTCTCACCATCCCCGCCTCCCCCTCCGTTCCCCCCCTCCCATCTCCCCAATCCCGCCTGCCCCCCTCCTATATCTCCTCCCGCCATTTCCCCTCCCCCCATCGCCCCTCCCCCCATTGTCCCTCCCACAAACATATCATCCCCCATCCCCTCTTCCCCCAGCAACTGCGCCCAGTCCACGTCAACCCAACCCACTCCCCCCCCCACTCCCATCCCCTCAACCCCTCCCATCCCTCCACCCTCTCCCCATCCCACCCCCCCTCCCTCTCCCCCTTCCTCCTCCCCCCCCATCACAGCCATTCCAGCCTCCCACAACACCCCCAATTGCCTTCTGCACCGCTCTAACTCCCCTTCCAACCACTCTACCTCCTCCTGCTGCCGCTGCATGATCTGCCTCAGCACCTCCACCCTCTCCTCATCATACACCGCCTTCTCCTCCAGAATCCTCTCCCGCTGCCGGGCGGCAAGGTGGGCGGCGGCTTTGTCCTCTTGCAGCCGGCGAATCAGCTCCATGCTGGCCTGGGCGGCACTGTCAGCCGCCGCCCGTTCCTGGTCCAGCTCCCTTCTAAGAGAATCTACCAGCTCCATTTCATTCTCCAACGCCCGGCGCAGCACAGCCAAATCATCCTCATCCTCGTATTCATCCCCTTCTCCTTCCTCATCCTCCTCCGCTTCCCTCTCTCCTCCCTCCTCCCCATCCTCCTCCTTGTCCCCATTGCTTCTCCTCCTGCCGTGGCCTCTGCGATTCTCCGCGGCCTGCTGCTGCAGCTGCCGCTTCAGCTGCCGCTGATGCTGCTTGAGTATCTTGAGGAACTTCGCCCGGTCAATCACCTCCTCTTCCTTCTCCTCCCCCTCCCCGCCCTTGCCCTTCTCCCTCTCATCCTTTGCCGCATGACGCAACCCCTGCTCTGCCTGTCCCACTTGCTCCTCCTGCCCCTCCTGCCCCATCTTCTCCTCCTCCTCCTGCTCCTGCTCCTGCTCCTGCTCCTGCCTCAGCTCTGGCATCTCATGTTCAGTCGATGCCAGGGATTGCAGTTCCCGCCTTTGACCCCCCTCCTCCTCTTCCTCCTCCTCTTCCTCCTCCTCCCCTTTCTCCTCCGCCTTGCTGCCTCTCTTCTCCACGCCCCCGTCCCCATCACCTGCCACACTCTCAGCAGCACCACCACCATATGCCGCTGCTGCCTCCAAAGTCGACTGGGCCGCCGCTTCTGTCTCCCCATTTTCTGCCTCCCCATCTTCTCCCTCCCGTCCCTTAGTATTCTCAGGAGAACCTTCACGAGACGATTCACCTTCGCCTTCCCTACTCCCATCGGTCGTTTCCCTTTCCACACTCGGCCTGGTTCCCCTGTGGTCCCCCTTCTCCTCCTCCCCTTCCTCCTGCACTGAACTCATCTGTCTCACCATTCTCCTCCTCCTCCCCTCCTCTCCACCGTCCCCCCCTCTCTCCCCCTCCCTCCTCACCACCCATCCCTTCTCCTTCCCCTCCCCGTTTTCCTCCTCATCCACCTCCTCCTTCTCCTCCTCCTCCTCTTCCTCCCCCTCCACCCGCTCTCCTTGCCCTCGTCTCCCCCCCCTATGTCGCGCCATGAATCCAGACAGAAGGCTGAAAAGAGACGCCTCAGTCATGTGCCTGTACGACCGGCGTCCAGCCATCCTCAATCGCACGCCCCTGTCCCCCTTCAAACCACCACCACTGCCAGCAGCACTGCCAGCAGCACCACCTGCAGCACCAGCAGCAGCAGCACCGCCAGCGGAAGCAGCAGCGCCAGGCGAAACAAGCTCTGGTCCTCCCATCCATTGACCTCGCCTGCCTGACCCCTTCCCAGGTGTCCTCCCAGGTGTTCGTCCAGGTGTCCTCCCAGGTACCCTGCGTCTTTCTAGTGGCAGGTGGAGCGTTGGAAGGACAAGGCCACGCCGAGCGCTCATGCCCTCTGTAGCATCACCATCCGCTACAGTCACACATTCCGCAGTTTCTGGCACACATCCTTCCGCCTTAGTCACACTTTCTGTAGTGTCATCCATTCTCCCTGAAACATCTCCTTCCTCTATAATCACGCTCTCCTGTGTTCCAACTCCATCCCCTTGCGCACTTGTGCATTCCCCTGCTACACCTCCCCCCGTTTTAGTCACACTTCCCTGTGCATCGCTTCCTCTCGCTACGGTCACATCCGCCTCAGCAGATTCAGAGGCGGCCTGTTGTTCAGCCCACTGGGCTTTTCTGCCCGCATCTGCCTGGAAACTGCCTTGGTCGTCGTCAGGAAGGCTCTCCTGTATCTCTGTAAGCAGACTTATTTCGCCCCCCTCAACAGCACAGCCAACACCACCAACACCAGAATCAACAGCAGCAGCAGCAACAGCAGCAGCAACAGCAGCAGCAGCAGCAGCAGCGCCAGCAGTACCATCACGCCAACCACCCGTCCCATTCCCACCCGTCCCACTCCCACCCAAGCCTCCCAACCCTCCTGCCGAACCTTCTCCCAAGCCCTCCCCAAGACCCGATCCAGGCTTCGCCGTCCCCTTCTCTTGCCAAGCCTCCTTCGCCCCCTCCCCCCTGCCTCTCCTCCACTCCCTTTCCAACTCCTCCCTCTCCTTCCCCCACGCACTCAGCAACGCACTCACCAACTCTTCCCTCCTCTCCGCCCTCCTCTCCTCCTCGTCTCTTTTCAGATGCTCCACCAGTTTCTTTGCCAACCCCTCATACTCCTCCCTCTCGTGCTCTCTCGCTTTCACTCTCTCCCTCTCCTTCTCCCTCTCCCCCCCTCTCTCTCTATCATTCTCCCTCTCCCCCCCTCTCTCTCTATCATTCTCCCTCTCCCCCTCTCTCTCTCTATCCTTCTCCCTCTCTCTCTCCTCCAACACCTGCTGCGCCAACTCCCGCCCGAGTTCTCTCAGTTCAGTCACCTTCGTTACAGTCACCAGCTGCTCCACTCGTTGTAGCCACGCCTCTCTCTCCCTCCCCCACTCCTGGACTACCCTCTGGACCAGATCCTCTTGCTCCTGATTCTGCGCCTCCTCCTTTACCTCCTCTTCCTTCTGTTGCTCCTGTTGTTGCTGCTGCTGTTCCTCCTTCTCCTCCTCCTTCGCCTCGTCTTCCTGCTGATGTTGCTGCCGCTGCTGCTGCTCCTCCTGCTCCTCTTCCTGCTTCTCCTCCTCCTCTCTTACCTCGTCTTCCTTTTGCTGCGGCTGCTGCTTCCGTGCTCCTGTGCGTTGCTGCTGCTCCTGCTGCTGCTGCTGCTCCTGCTGCTCCTGCTGCTCCTGATCCTCGTGCTCCTGCTGCAGCGTCAGATCTTCCTGTTTGCTCTGCTTCAGCAACGCCGAGAGTCTCTCAACCAGTTCACCCACCAACGCCGCCCTCTCTTCCGCCCGTTCTTGCTCCCTCTCCCGTTTCATCCTCTCTTCCTCCAATTTTCGCTCCTCTTCCTCCTTCTCCCTTGCCGATTCCGCTGTCCCATTAATCTCCTCTATTCCGTCGCCTCTTCCCCCCTCATCCTCCTCTCCCTTTCCACTCGCCTCCTCTCCCTTTCCACTCGCCTCCTCTTGTTTGCTGTCTCCCTCTATCATCCTCCTATTCTCCGTACTCTCCCTTCTCCCTTTCCTCTCCCCATTTTCAGTCCTCCCTTCAACCACGCCGGATACGACCTCCACCAGTTCCTCCCGCATCTTTACCACTTCTGCTGAAACCACCTGAACCACCTCCGCTGAAAGCACCTGAAGAAACTCCTGCCCGTCAGAGGGCTTCCCACGTTCGCTGCTGCAGCATGGCCTGACGTCACCTGCCGAGCTATTGATTGGAATTTGCAGACTGAATGTGACGTCATCATCGTTTTTAGCAATCACGGTGACGTCATCAGCGGTAGTTGTTCTTATCGCGTCCACGGGCTTATCTTGAGGCGGCTCAGCAGATAAAGAAGTCACCTTCGCGGAATCTTCGTTTCTCAAGTAGTCGCTTTCCCCATCAGTCGCGCGAGGATCGAAAGGTTTGCGGTCGAATGACACGTGGCGGAAAGACAGCCTCGCCACGTGTAACAGCCAAATCGCAGCGGCGCCACAAGCAGCTCGAGCGAGGAGGAGAGCCGCGAAGAGGAACTGGATAAACTCGTCGACCACTGAAGGGGAAGAGGACGGGTCCCATGGCGACGAGTAAAAGGCGATTCGAACGGCTGACAGACTAACGACATCGGCGACATTGACGGCGGTGACGGCGTTGAGTTGATGCATTGATAGGATTCAAGGTCTGCGACAATCCGTCCTCTTTAGCCCTACTGGGAGAAAATAGAGATAAGGCCAACAGCAAGTTGCGACTTGCTCTTGACGAGCGTTAAACGCCAAAGTCGGTCACGCGCTACCCCATGAAATGCTGCCGTCGCGCGGTTCCATTGTTCGACCGACAAGCACGGACAACGATGCAGCAGGAGGAGCCAAGCAGCATAATAATTAACAGGACGAACGGAGCAGGAGGAAGGAAGGAGTAGGAAGAAGGTGAGAGTAGGAATGAATGAAAGGGAGATGGAGAGTGAGAAGTGAATGAGCGGGACTGTGGTGACATTAGGAAAATAGACGAGGTGAACAAAGATACCGCATAATAATGCCCTACACCGTAGCATTTACCTCTACCGCCATTCCCGCCAGTTTTGTTTTCCCGTTGAGGTGTACTCGACTGTGGAGTTTGCAGAAGCTGTGAGAGAGACTCGCAAATATTTGCGAAATGTGTTACAGCAGACACGAAAGACGACGATTGCGGGCGATTATGGAATCGGGGTTCCACCACACCATTCGACAACTTCCTGTGTGGTTATGTAGGGCTCATATGATTGGCTGACGCTAGTGCTGCCGCATTCGTGCGAACATCGTAGAGGCACTACGAGGGACGTGCGACCATGTGTACACGTAGTCGCGATGCCTCTGATTGGAGAATGTCACACGAAGCATGCGACCTTTGTGATGAATTAGGGCGTGTGAGGTCGGATTTGAAATTCAAAAAAAAGTGCGAACTTTGTGTGGTTACCAGTTTCGCCAATGTCGCATAAAGCTACGAGCGAAACTTCGTCAACTTTGGGTTTGGCAACATGCGAACTGCAAACTTGAACAAGACTCGAGTTTTAGTTGTGAACGTGCTTCGGCATGTTCACATTCACGTGTGTGATTTCCCGCACGTTCGAGCATCTGGCGAAATGTGCGAGCGACTCACGAGTAGCAACAGTTTCACAACGAACTCACCACAGCCTTCGTGTACTGAATAGAGACCACGTGGCGATAATCGGGTAACCTACTTTTTAGAACCGGGTAACCTACTTTGTAGAAATGCGGTTCGGTGCGTTTTTACAAGTTCGAATACGCGCACTCGACCTTGTATATGTGTGTGCTTTTCTGCAGTGTTGTGGTCCAGATGTGCGAACCCCGATACAATGAAAGTCGAGTTTGGTTCGACATATGTTCATGTAGCACAACTCGCCCTTAAAATGTAAACTTTCACAAATTCCACCGATCACACGCGCCCTTAGAGTTCTGACGTGGCTGCACGACAAACGAAACAAGGGTGCTGTGCTGAGGATAATAGATGCTCCTGGAGTGCGGCTCGATAAGACTGCAGTGACCGATGTGTACAAAACTTTTTATTCTTATCTTTACAGTACAAGGTCTAAAAGAAGAGACTCTTCAACCCCCTTCCATATTATCTTGAGCTACCTTCAGAAAACGTGGGCTTTACTGAAGATTCCTCTAGGACTTCAACGATGACTACCTGTAACAACAAAACAGGCGTAAAATGCGTTAAAACAAAGCACGTACGCTATCCATCCCAAAAACACTACCCAAACATAGAAGGCTCACCTCTTCAGTGCGTGCTTCTTTTTCTTCTCTCTTTTCATTTGGCGGCAAGACAACAGCAACTGGTACTTGCGCCTCAGGCCGAGAAGGTGCAGCTGGTTTCACCGCTTGCTCTGCTGCCGCCTTGGCTGCACGTCTTGCCTTCTCCTCCTCCTTCCGCTTGCGGAACCTACCAATCAGGTCCATAAAGAGTGCAAAACAGTGAGGCACAGGCGGGCAAACAGGAAGCAAGAAAAGAGAGGGGGGTGATTGGGGAAAGGGGAAGTACGGAATGGAGGGGATATGAGGAGCAGGGCAAGTGATTGAAATAGACACCCTGGATTTTTCTCTTGGCATACCTCATTGCTCCTCTGTGCACATCCTCTCATCAACCAGCTAAATCGCAAGTCGCACCTCTTGCCTCGACTCTTTTCTTCATTTTTCTCGCAAGCTCCTTGCCTTGTCCATGACATCTCAACCCCACTGCTAGTGCAACCATTTCCCTTCTCCCCCCCCCCCCCCCCTTCCCACCCTCTTCCTTCATGCACCAGCTTTCCCTCCAGACAACTTTGTCTTGACCCAGTAAGCCCGAGCGCTAAAAATCGCAGTTCCCAGTAACCTGACACAACCCAGTAACCTGACACAAATAAAAGCCTCAGACATTTTGTTCACCCGCCCATTCCCTTTCCTTGTCATCCACATTGACTGCTGCCGCCGCAACCCCATCATCCCCCGCCGAGGTGACTTTTGAGTCGACTCAAAAGTCACCTCCGACATTTCCTCACCTCTCTGCCCGTTCCCTCTCCTTGTCATCCACATTGACTACAGCAGCCGCTCCAGCATCATCTCCTACCGCCTTTCCCGCCCGCTTTGCCGCCTCTGCTTCCTTGCGCTTCCGGAACCTGCAAGACGCAGCAGAAGAAACGAGTTGTTACCGGTTTCACTCACACCACCGCCTCAATCCATCCATGCACCTCCTCTTGACATGAGACGAGTTTCGAGGCACCTTACAGTCTGTAACAGGCAGCAGAAGAAACGAATTGTTACTGATACCACTCATACCACTCCCTTACCCCATTCCACCTCTCCCCACCGCTTTTCCCCCCCTGCCCTCCCATATTGCAGGTTCACCATGAGACTTCTCAGCATCGATCCCCTGGCTGGCTCTCACCGTTCAGCGCGGGCCCTCTCCTTCTCCTCCTCCTCCTGGCTCAGGCCCTTAAATGCAACCCCTTCCCCAGCAGACGACGACACTGCTGCTGCCGCCGGAGCAGAGGCAGCAGGTGCAGCAGACGCAGTGGTGCTGGGCGGTGCAGAGGGCTCCACAAGCCCCACGTCAATGACCCCATCAGCCCCCACCATTCCTGATGCTGCTGCTGGATTGGTGGCTCCTCCCATCTTGCGCAGGTAGACCGTCTGCCCTGTGCTCAGCACGTTGTTCACAAACCTGAGAGCATGGAGAGGCAGAGGTGGGGGAGAGGCAGAGGTGGGGGAGAGGCAGAGGTGGGGGAGAGGGGGAAGAGTAGTGGGACTAGCTCGAGAGCAGCACCGGCGTCAGAGCACCAGCCATCTTGCGCAGGTAGACCATCTGTCCTGTACTCAGCACGCTGTTCACAAACATGGGGGCATCGAGGACAATGGCGGTAGAGAGGGAGTTTGTGGAAATCGCACATGAGCCACATAGAGAATTTCGGCACAACTGTTTTCTGAGAATTCTAAAAAAAATCTCAACTGTGACCCCATAGAAGCAGGTCTCATCTCCGTGGGTTAAGAAGCGCCATTAGAGGGAAAAGCACATTCCCGGGTAGACGCAGCTGGTTGGAAGCATTCTGAAATGGTCTATTCTACTCTTTGAGAGATCAGTAACAGTAGACACGAGGTCACGAATTCTACTCTTTGCTGCTGTTGTCATCTCGAAACAACAGCAGCAATACAGCGGAACCGTAGACATGAAATTACGAGCACCCATCGGCAGCTAGAAACGAGTGCCATCAGCACGTGGGTCAACCCACCAGTAGAGGGAGAGGCCGGAGGGCAAGCGGTGCAGTGCAGTGCAGTGCGGTACCCTACCCTACCCACCAGTAGAGGGAGAGGCCGGAGGGCACAGTGAGGGAGAACCAGCCGATCATGAGCGGCAGGAACTTGAGAATCGCCTGGCTCTGCTGCGTTGCCGGGTCCTGGTGGGTGCGAGGCAGGCAGTAGGAGGCGGCGGGTTGTGGGAGCGGGGAGGAGGGGGAGAGGGGACAAGAGGGTGGATTTTTGAGTCGCCAGGAGACAGGATGTGAGTGTGCAGGAGGGACGAAGGGAAATGAGGAGGAAAGAGGAGGTGGCGGAGTGGGGAAGGGACGGGTAAAGATGGACGAGCAACAGTGGGAGGGCGGAAACGGAAATCTGGTGTCTTTGAAATGGATGCTTCAAAAGAAAGTGGTGAAGCGTTCAAATACAAGTGTGAGCAGTACTGGCAGCAATGGTACCTGCAGCATTGGTGGAACTGCCAGCTGTGACACACGCACATCTGTCTGTGGCGGCTACATGATCTGCATGGAAAGCGCCTGTGACGCCACCAGCAGCACTGGTGACAGTGAAAGCTTTCAGCAGCACTGGCACCAGCAGTACTAACAGCAGCACCATTGGCAGCAGCACTCACATCTGTCTGTGGCGGCTGCATGATCTGCATGGGGAGGGCCTGTGACGCCACCAGCAGCACTCACATCTGTCTGTTGGCTGTACTGACACTAGCAGCAGTGGCACTGGCAGCAGTACTGGCAGCAGTGGCACTGGCAGCAGCACAGGCAGCAGCTGCACTAGCACCAGCACCAGCACCAGCAGCAGCAGCAGCAGCACTCACATCTGTCTGTGGCGGCTGCATGATCTGCATGGAGAGAGCCTGTGACACCACCAGCAGCACTGGCAGCACGAGGTACGCTGCTGTGGCCTCCCAGCCCAGAGGCGGGGCGCCGTCCTGCAGGCAGTTTGGCGGGTTGGGGTTGGGGTGGGGGAGGGTTGGGGGGAAGGCGGGAGGGAAGGACCGCCGAGGAGAGGGGAGGACAGGGGGGACAGAGAGATGAGGCCCGAGCAGTGGCAGCACGAGGTACGATGCTCTGGCCTCCCAGCCCAGCGGAGGGGCGGCGTTCTGTAGTGTGGGTTGGGTGTGCGGGAGGGGCAATGGGAAAAGGGGCAGATTGAGAAAAGGTCGGAGGACTACAGGGGCAGAGAGAAGAGGCACCAACAGCAGCAGGCATGGCAGCGCGAAAGCACTGATGGGTCCCAACCAACCCAGAAGCAGGAAGGACGCTATTGTTGAAACACAAACCAACATACCATTCGAGAAGCCCATCTGCTCCGAAGATGCAGGATGTGCTTACAACGAAGGGGAACGGCGGCAGCATGTGCTTACAACGAAGGGGAACAGCGGCAGCATGTGCTTACAACGAAGGGGAAGAGCCAGGAGATGCCAGAGCCTTCGACGGTGGGATCGATAGAAGTGGGGCCAGCGAGAGAGGGGATCCAGAAGAAACCCTCCGTGAGCACGCCCTGTTGATGGGCGGGTGGTGGTGGTGGTGGTGGTGGTGCAGGGGAATCAGGTTGGCTCGGGAACAGATTCACCGCACATGAAGTTCCTTGCAGAATAGATGACAGCGCGAACGGAGGCATGAGGGAGAGAGAGAGCTCCTTTGGAGAAAGATGTGAATGAAAGAGGGGAGCGGGAGAGGGGGTGTCGGGGAGGAAAAAGGGGGAAGGCGGGAGGGGGGAATATGGGAGAAGTAGAGAAGCACTTGACTTACCTCCTTGGCGACGTTACTGAGAGCCTGGTAAAGGCCGATGAAGATGGGGAGTGTGGCAAGCGTGGGCAAGCAACCTGTGATGTGGATGCGGAATGGGGTGCGAATGGGGGATGAGAATGGGGGGTGTGGGATGGGGATGGGGGTGGGAGCGGGATGGAGATGGGCCACGAGTGATGGTCATAAAAGATTGCTGTGCTATTGTTCTTTACCCTTCCTTCTTTCCTCTCTTACTAATAACTTTCGTCGTATCGTACCAGACTCGACCGGAAGGACAGGAGCTTCCGCTCAACTAGTCTCTATGTTCGTGTCACGTTGTTCAATATTCTAAGGGATCGGTCAGAACTCAATTACTGGCCAGGTACCAGAACGCCTCCCCTCACCTGCGAGGGGGTTGACACCCGCGCGTTGGTACACCTTGGCCGTCTCCATCTGAATGCGCTCCTGGTCGCCCGCGAACTGCGCCTGGATCGCCTTCAGCTGCGGCGCCAGGCTCTGCATCGCGAGCGTCGACTCCACCTGCTTCTTCGTCAGCGGGAACGTTACCACCTTCACAATGATCGTCAACAGGATGATTGAGAAGCCGTACGCGTACGGCACTTTCAGAGCGACTAGGCCCTCCTCTAAGACCTGCCAGGGGTGCGAGATGGCGGGGTTGGGGGGGAACGGAGGGAGCATGATGCACATTATCGTCAGCGGGAACGTTACCACCTTCACGATAATCGTCAACAGGATGATTGAGAAGCCGTACGCGTAGGGCACCTTGAGAGAGACCAAGCCCTTCTCTAAGACCAGCCAGGCAGGAGGTAAGAGGAGCATGATGAGTTTTTTCGTGAGCGGAAACATCAACACCTTGACGAAGATGGTTAGAATAATGATGGAGAAGCCGCATGCGTACGGCACCTTAAAATAGACTTATCCCTCCTCTCAAGGTAAGTACGAGAGTGGAGGCACTGACGATTGGCAGGATGAGGTATTGAGGATGAAATGACCGCCTGAAAGTGCAGATTACTCGCACATCTACCACGTTTAGCCTATATGCGCTGTAGGAACCGTGAAATTGCAGTGTTTATTGTGCGGATATGCCATTGTCGCACCTTGAGAAATGCTTCCAGAAGATCAGCAAGGCCTGAGAACCAGCCACGATCCTGCACCACCTCAGCAGCGGCTGGTGCCACGTCAGCAGCAGCGTCCGCTACCGCGAATAGCAGATTGTGTGCGGCGATCGATCCTGCGGAAATCACGGCATCAATGCCGGAAGGGTCCAGGGCTGCTCTTGTGACAACGCTTCTGGATCGCTTCGCGTGCTTCTGTGACTGTAACGGGCGCATTTGTCTTAAGGGAAGCCCAGGACCACGACAGCAGCTTTGCAGTCTAAGCCCAGACGCTGACGTGGCTAACGTGGCCCTGGGTACTGTCGAAACTGCCATCGGTGCAGGATGCAGCAGGACTCGATCCATGGCGCCGAGACACAGGGACACAGGGACACAGGACACAGGGACACAGGGATTGAGATTTAGTGACCTAATGCAGGAGTGCTGTTGACGTAGTTCATCAGCTGCACTCAAGCTACCCGTTTTCAGTGTTCACCCTGAAATGGAAAACTGGTGAAAGAAATGTGTATCAGGTCAGAAACAGGACCCGACCATGGCTCACCTGGAATCTAGAGGAGGCATCTGGTAACTTCTAGGGAAGTTGAGCTGGCTGAAGCTGGCATGGCAAGCACTCTGGCATCCCTGTATCGCTTTTGACATCAGCATCTACTGGCTGAGAGACACATAGGTGTGCCAGATAAGGGTCCTGAATTAATGTGACACGTGGCCAACCAGCGTATATGCTACTTCGTTAGGGTCACAGAGAGATATATCCTGCAACCGTGAGTGTATTCTTCATACTCTGCTTCCTCGTCTTGTACAGGCAAGCAGCACATCCTTGGCTGTAGTTTCGCCATCGCAAGACTTGGCGATCTACGATGAAGCCACGTGCACATCCGGCTCCAGCGCTGGTTGGAAGGCTTGATACCTATTTTGTGGGAGATGGTTCTCCGATTGGCTAATAAAATCAGTGAACCTCGCCAACCTCCGCACTTTTTCTGTACGACAACCCGGCTGAACCGCTCCGAGTGACTTGTGTGTGAAGCAAGCGAAGTGATTTGTCCAACCCTAAATATCCACGACATCGCTGAGAAGTTCGTTAACAGTTAGCCGGCGGATTCTGCTACTATTTATCGTCCAGGATGTCTCTTTTCGGTGTACGACGTTTCTAGGTTCGTCCAGATTCATCCAATCAGCAAAATCGCGAAAACTCCCAGTCGCAGGAAGCCCGTCGCAGCCACGGCAACCCCCAAAGTGTCCCTATAAATTTCCGTTTCCCAGAGAGTTCACGAGAAAGTTACCAGTTTTCCAACCAACAACAAAATATCGTTTTCCTTCGCTGCACCCATACACAAGTCAGTTGATTGCTCAGGACGAAGCCACTGGGCGTCAGCCATTGTTATCAGATTCCCCCCTCCATTATCATTCTACTTCGCTCTTCTCAAGGTTAGCAACAAGGTTTGCATCTGCGGAGGGACCCTCCTTGTCCCGACTCCCAAGTCACATCTCTGATTCAGGGAGCTATTCGTGCTTACCGCGGACAAGGTACTTGCACGTGCTTAAGAATTTCGGGTTCCGTTCCGTGAAGCTGTGTCTGCGGCTGGTTTCCCTTACTGACTAAATTGGGACTTCCTTTCGCTGTCTTCTGCTCTCAACTTTCAGACCCTTCTTCCGTGCTTACCCAGCGCACCTTCAAAATGGCTGGAGCTATCGCTCAGTCGCCGCTCGTCTCCGCGAGCGTGGTCCTCCATGGCGGTAACAAGGCTAACCGTCGGTCGCGGCGCTCGTCGTCAACCGTCGCCAGCGTCGCAGCTCCTCGCTCACTTCAATCCTTCACGGGACTTAGGCGTCTCGGCCAAGCTGACATGGCACTCCGGAGCTCTCCGTCGTTGGCAGCGATAGTCGCGAAGCAGACTAAAGCCGGCTCGTCCGGCTCCGCCAAACGCGGCGTCGCTGTCGCCATGTTCGAGCGCTTCACGGAGAAGGTACTAGGCCGTTCACCTTAGTCTCCACTTATGAGTCATTTAGCGAGTTCGTTCACTGCACGTGAGGATTAAGTTGACTTGAGTTGTCACCTAGGGGGGTTCAGGAAGGAGGATCATGGACGCACCTTGTTACACGCGGCGTGGCTTGACTGTTCCGTCTTTTTTTTTTCTCGTAGATACTGGGATTTCGACCTATGCTCCCGGTTGCTGCTGATTATTTTAAATTCGCGGTCCGTCAGGCACCAAGTTACCGCGGTTGGAGAGTTTCCTTAAATCCCCCTTCGCCCATCGCAGGCTATCAAGGTGATTATGCTCGCACAGGAAGAGGCGCGGCGCCTGGGCCACAACTTCGTGGGCACGGAGCAGATTCTTCTGGGGCTCATCGGGGAGGGCACGGGCATCGCCGCCAAGGTGCTCAAGTCGCTGGGCGTCAATCTCAAGGAGGCGCGCGTCGAGGTCGAGAAGATCATCGGCCGCGGCTCGGGCTTCGTGGCCGTTGAGATCCCGTTCACTCCGCGCGCGAAGCGCGTGCTGGAGCTGTCGCTGGAAGAGGCGCGGCAACTGGGGCATAACTACATCGGCACGGAGCATCTGCTGCTGGGCCTGCTCCGCGAGGGCGAGGGCGTGTCCGCGCGCGTGCTCGAGAATCTCGGCGCCGACCCTGGGAATATCCGGTCGCAGGTAAACAGGAGAGTGTTTGTTTCTTGTGTGCGTTTGATTGAATATTGCTGGAAAATCTGCAGTCGCATGTTATTCTATCTGAATACCACTTGCTACAGCGAAATTGGTTATTACAAGTGATATTAACGAAGTCGGATCTTTCTGATGGCAGGTGATCCGCATGGTGGGTGAGAGCGCGGAGGCGGTGGGCGCCGGCGTGGGCGGCGGCAGCAGCGGCAACTCCAAGATGCCCACGCTGGAGGAGTACGGCACCAACCTCACCAAGCTCGCTGAGGAGGTGAGTTGAACTAATTGCGCTGTTGAATTTTGACTCTCTGAATCTCACCTAAGGCGCTTCGAAAACAGTTGCAGAGGACATGAGCTCTTACACTGGTTAGTCCAAGGCAATCTGCAATCGCCAATTTTTTTCACGTGCGTTTGCTAATGACCTCCCCCTCTTCTTCCCTCCTTCCCCCTCGCTCACCCTCCCCCTCCTTCCCCGCAGGGCAAGCTGGATCCAGTGGTGGGGCGCCTGGCGCAGATCGAGCGGGTGACGCAGATTCTGGGGCGTCGCACCAAGAACAACCCCTGCCTCATTGGCGAGCCGGGTGTGGGCAAGACCGCCATCGCTGAGGGCCTCGCACAGAGGATCGCTTCTGGAGACGTGCCTGAGACGCTGGAGGGGAAGAAGGTGAGGGCGTGGTGGAAATGGCGGTGGGTAATTTTGTGTTTGTTTCTTCTTGCCCGTTTCGATTTTCTTCATCGATGAGGTCCACACCCTCATCACCCCCCTCTCCTCCTCCCATGCTTCCTTGACCCCTTCTCCCCCCCCCTCCCTTCTTCCCCTTTTCTCCTCCTCCCCTCCTCCCCTCCCGCCCCTTCCCTCCGCCCCGCGCCCTCCCTTTTCTGGTTTCCCAGGTCGTGACACTAGACATGGGTCTGCTTGTAGCGGGGACAAAGTACCGTGGAGAATTCGAAGAAAGACTCAAGAAGCTGATGGACGAGATCAAGCAGGCAGACGACATCATTCTCTTCATCGACGAGGTGCACACGCTCATTGGCGCAGGAGCAGCCGAGGGCGCGATCGACGCGGCCAACATCTTAAAGCCCGCCATGGCGCGCGGGGAGCTGCAATGCATCGGCGCCACCACGATCGACGAGTACAGGAAGCATATTGAGAAGGATCCGGCGCTGGAGAGGCGGTTTCAGCCGGTGCAGGTGCCGGAGCCGTCAGTGGATGAGACGATTCTGATCCTCAAGGGGCTGAGGGAGCGCTATGAGATTCACCACAAGCTGAAGTATACTGATGAGGCGCTTGCTGCTGCTGCCCAGCTGTCATACCAGTACATCAGGTACGGCTTTGGGTTTGTCAAGTGTAGACCTATGAGTTGCACCAAGCAACAACATTGAGTAAAATTACTCTCCAAGTGTCTCAAAACAACAACTCTGAGCAAAGTTGCTCTCCAAGCCATGGGTCAACGATTAACCATAGTGCCCTCACCTCCTCTACCAACCCTCCCCTGGCCTCCCCCACCTTCCCCCCTTCCCTCTTCCCCCCTCCCCCCGTCCCCTCCCCTTTCTCTCCCCCATTTCAGTGACCTTTTCCTGCCCGACAAGGCCACCGATCTGACTTTGGGGGAGAGGCAGGGTCCGCCCTGACGAGGCAGGGTCCCGCGTGCGGCTGCAGCATGCGCAGCTACCCGAGGAGGCCAAGGAGCTGGACAAGCAGCTGCATTGCCCGACTACCCCAGACCCAGCTTCTCACCTTCTCCTCCTCTTCCCCCCCTCTCCTCTCTCCCTTCCCCTTCCCTTTTGCTCCCGTTTCCCTTCCTCCTCGCCACTCCCCTGCTCTCTCCTTCAACAGTGACCGCTTCCTGCCCGACAAGGCCATCGATCTGATCGACGAGGCAGGGTCCCGCGTGCGGCTGCAGCATGCGCAGCTGCCAGAGGAGGCCAAGGAGCTGGACAAGCAGCTGCGGCAGATCACCAAGGAGAAGAACGAGGCCGTGCGCAACCAGGACTTTGAAAAGGCCGGAGAGCTGCGCGACCAGGAAATGGACCTCAAGACACAGATCAATGCCATTATGGAAAAGAGCAAGGAGATGAACAAGGCCGAGATTGAGGCTTCTGGGGGAGCCGTCGGACCGACGGTCACCGAAGCGGATATTCATAACATTGTGTCGGCATGGACGGGCATTCCAGTGGAGAAGGTATCGAGCGATGAGAGCAGCCGTCTGCTGCAGATGGAGGCGACGCTGCACAAGCGCGTGATTGGCCAGGACGAGGCGGTGAAGGCGATTTCTCGCGCGATCCGGCGCGCCCGTGTCGGGCTGAAGAATCCCAACCGTCCGATCGCGAGCTTCATCTTTTCCGGGCCAACCGGGGTTGGGAAATCTGAGCTGGCTAAATCTCTCGCGGCGTATTATTTCGGATCTGAAGAGGCGATGGTTCGGCTTGATATGTCTGAGTTCATGGAGCGGCATACTGTGTCGAAGCTGATTGGGTCGCCGCCCGGTTATGTGGGGTACAGTGAGGGAGGGCAGCTGACGGAGGCGGTGCGAAGGAGGCCGTACACTGTGGTGCTGTTTGACGAGATTGAGAAGGCCCACCCTGACGTGTTCAACATGATGCTCCAGGTATGGTGGTTCATGTGCTTGTTATGAAGCTGGTCCAGGGATGGTGGGTGGGGGCTTGAGGGTTGCACAGACGAGTAGTGGTGGTGACCAGGTAGGTGGCGGCCATACACTGTGGTGCTGTTTGATGAGATTGAGAAGGCTCACCCTGACACGTTCAACATGATGCTCCAGGTATTGTGGGATGAGGGTTGAGGGTAAGCGAGACATGGGCTGTGGTGGTGAACAGGTAGGCGGCGGCCGTACAGGGTTGTGCTGTTTGACGAGATTGAGAAGGCCCACCCTGACACGTTCAACATGATGCTCCAGGTATGGTGGTGTGACTGGCGGTAAGGGCATGAGCTACGATCTTAACACCCCATGGATGACGTCTGTCTCTCTGATTTCTAACTGCAAACTTCTGACTCAAAATATCTCAATGATTCTTGCTTAAACTTACGAATGTTGAACTCACCAATGTTAAATTTACCAATGTTAAAACTTACCAATGATAAATTCACAAATGTTTAAATCCCTTGCGCGCCTATCATCTGCACACCAGATTCTGGAGGACGGGCGCCTGACGGATAGCAAGGGCCGAACCGTCGACTTCAAGAACACGCTCCTCATCATGACGTCCAACGTGGGCTCGTCCGTGATCGAGAAGGGCGGCGGAGGCATCGGCTTCCAGCTGGACTATGGCGAGCAGGATACCAGCTACAACAGAATCAAATCTCTCGTGAACGAGGAGCTGAAGCAGTACTTCAGGCCCGAGTTTTTGAATCGGCTGGACGAGATCATTGTGTTCCGGCAGCTGACGAAGCAGGAGGTGAAGGAGATCAGTGATATCATGCTCAAAGAGGTGTTTGACCGCCTCAAGAAGAAGGATATCGACCTGCAGGTGCGAATGCGTGAGGGTGTGGGTTTGAGTGTGGGTGTCGGTGTGGGGAAGGGAGGGTAAGGGGAGGGTAGACAAGGGTGTGAGGGGCTAGATAGGGGAGGGGCACGAGGTAAAACCGCATACAACCGCGTTGCAACTGACTAAGTCACTGGTGAACGAGGAGCTGAAGCAATACTTGGCCGGAGTTCCTGAACCGGCTGGACGAGATCATTGTGTTCCGGCAGCTGACGAAGCAGGAGGTGAAGGAGATCAGCGATATCATGCTCAAGGAGGTGTTTGACCGCCTCAAGAAGAAGGACATAGATCTTCAGGTGAGAGTGTGTGCATGTGTGTGGGAGGGGAAGCAGGAAGTTGGAAGGGTGCGTGGGTGGGTGTGTGGGTGTGGAGGGGTAGGGAAGGGTTTGTAAGGAGATCAGCGATATCATGCTCAAGGAGGTGTTTCACCGCCTCAAGAAGAAGGACATCGACCTGCAGGTGAGAGGGAGGGGAAGCATATGCAGGCCGGCTGGGTGGATGGGTGGGTGGATGTAGGGAAGGGATGGGCAGGGTTGTGGGGTACATGGGGGGTGAAGGAGATCAGCGATACCATGCTCAAAGAGGTGTTTCACCGCCTCAAGAAGAAGGTCATCGACCTGCAGGTGAGAGGGAGGGGAAGCACATGCAGGCCGGCTGGGTGGATGGGTGGGTGGATGTAGGGAAGGGATGGGCAGGGTCGTGGGGTACATGGGTGGTGAAGGAGATCAGCGATATCATGCTCAAAGAGGTGTTTGATAGACTCAAGAAGAAGGACATAGATCTTCAGGTGAGAGTGTGTGCATGTGTGTGGGAGGGGAAGCAGGAAGTTGGAAGGGTGCGTGGGTGTGGAGGGGTAGGGAAGGGTTTGTAAGGAGATCAGCGATATCATGCTCGAAGAGGTGTTTGATAGACTCAAGAAGAAGGATATCGACCTGCAGGTGAGAGGGAGTGGAAGCATAGTGGGTGGGTAAGTGCGTGGGTGAAGGGAAGGAATGGGGCAGGGGTGTGTTTTACATCGGAGGTGGAGGGAAGGAGGTTTAGGAGATCAGCGTTATCATGCATGTCGAATCCCCATCTCCACCCCTGGTTCCCCTCCATAGCCCCTTACTCTGTTCCTTCACTCCCCAGGTGACAGAGAGGTTTAGGGACAGGGTGGTGGACGAGGGCTACAGCCCTTCATACGGCGCCCGGCCGCTGCGCCGAGCCATCATGCGGCTGTTGGAAGACAGCATGGCGGAGCGCATGCTCTCAGGGGAGATCAAGGAGGGCGACAGTGCCGGATGTGGATGCTGCACACTGTGTGGTACACTCTGAAGATACCCTCTCACTTGTAATTTTGTCCTTCACCACTTACACCCCCTTCCCCCAGGTGACTGAACGTTTCAGAGACCGAGTGGTGGATGAGGGGTACAGCCCATCTTATGGTGCCCGGCCGCTGCGCCGAGCCATCATGCGGCTGTTGGAAGACAGCATGGCAGAGCGCATGCTGTCCGGGGAGATCAAGGAGGGCGACAGTGCCATCATTGATGTGGATGCTGATGGAAATGTGACTGTGCTGAACGGCAACACTGGCACTGCTACTTCTACTGCTATTGAGGCCCCAGCTGGGATCTCTTAGAGCGGAGCGGAGGGCTGGTGGGGTGGATGGGTGGGTGAGGAGGGGAATGAGTGGAGCGCATGTTGTTAGGGGAGATCAAGGAGGGCGACAGTGCCATCGTTGATGTGGATACTGATGGGAATGTGACAGTGCTGATCGGCAACACTGGCACGGCCACGTCTACCGCTATCGAGGCTCCTGCTGGGATCTGGTGGTGTAGCAGGGTCGATGGTTGGGTGTGTGTGGGTTTTGGGGGGTGTGGGTAAGATGGGAGGGTGAAATGGGAGGGCTTCGGGCCTGATTGGATGTTGGATGGTACCGTTTATAGAGCGACTGCTACCTACTGACTTGGTTGTGTATGAAATCTCCTTTTTGTGGTGTGCGGTTCGTTACGGTTGTGGTAAGACAAATGCTCCTCCCATCTCTGAACGTTTTAGACATCTCTGGTGTCAACTTTTTTTTGCTATATGAATATCATGATGCATATACTGGTATGTCATATCAATTTAAAAACGATTCTGCTAGTGGACCGGACAGTTGGGCTACTTTACATGATCAAATACATACTGTACTGTAACCTGACAAGCGAGGTGTGAGCAAAGTTAATGCAACAACTCTGTTAATGCACAGGGAAATTACACACTTGGTTCATAGCTAGTTTTTCATACATGCTGTGTGTATTTGCTCACAACATACTGTTCTTGGGGCTTTCAATGGCGGAGAGTAACTTGGACACACAAGCTGTTGGCGCTATGCAGAACACAACGAGCACTGCATTGTTGACGGGGGTACCAGCGATCAAGATTTAACAGATGCTGCAGATTTCAGAGCTTCTAGCAGAACAGCAGGGGGCTGAGCACCTGAAAACTCCTGGCCACCAATCTGTGCGCGGAGCAGAGATGGGGGAGTGTGAGCATACTTCTGACAACCTCAAGTCTTAGAACTGGGCACATGGTAACTGCTGGCTGCCATTATCAAAGAAACTAGACGTAGGGAAGGTAGTTTAGTGACGGGGATGTGAACCAACAAACAGGAGGAGGCAACAGCTTGGTGTGTTTTGTGTCAAATCGTGACACACAACAGCTTCTTGTCAGGCAACAGCCAGACAATAAAACGTGGAGGTCTACCCTTCAAGCAGCTTCCAATTCTTTAAGGTTACTTCGACAAGAGAATGCGTGGAACAAGAAAGACTGTTTGCGATGAATGAAGCAGCTTAGGGCGCGTCTCTTTTTTTATTTTCTATGTTTTTCCGGACTGTCCACTTGTATCGAAACGAACGGTCCCAATAGCGGGTACCGGACAGTCCGATTAAAAAAATTGAAACATCAGACCGTCCGAAGGCTAAACTGTCACATTTTCCAACATCGCAAATTTCCGACTTACTGAAGCATCGCTAGAGCCACTGTACCATCGTAACCCCAGTCACACACGCTCACAACTTTCGCCACGACCCTTTGCGGCGCGATTCCAGAAATGCTCAACCACCAAGCACATCACACCACTCGATACATTGAAAACAGCACACTGATAGACAGTGGTGTTGGGTGTGGTGTTGGCTGGTCGAGAGTTGTCGTTTCCGCTGGAGTGCTCCATAGCGGCCTGATTGTGATGGTTCGGTTCGGATTGCTGGGGGCTTTGTAGTGTCGGTTCAATGTTCGGGCGCGCGTCGCGCGCCACAAATAAATTGAACATGCGACTCGGTGTAATATTTCAGAGTTGTTCGCGCGCCAATCACGTGTCAGAACTGTGCTTCTGGCCGTTTGCATTTCGAACTGACAGATGTTCACAATGTGAACCGTTGCTTGGAGGGAAAAGTGACGCGACGGTTCGAACTGTTCGCAATGTCGCATAGAATTTCGCGAAATTCTGGCGAATTCATACGAAAATGGTAACCTTTTCGCAAATCGGACGGTCCACGGTTCGAACCGTCGGGAGCAAAGAAGAGACACGCTCTTACAATGAAATGTGGAACGCCTGAGACCCGTGGTCGATAGCGTTGCAATTCAGCCTCCACCTGCGATACATGCCATGTGTCATTTGCTCACATGCCATTCACATCTCATCCATATCCCGCCCACATCCCATCCATATCTCGTTTAAACATCATGTGCAGACCATTTGCATGTCATTCACACATCCAAACACACCATTGACATGCCACAAGTGATACACGACCTCTTTAGGAATTTCCAAACATATCCACCAAGTGGTGGCATAGTGGAAGGTTTAGCAAAAAAGAAAAACAAATCAGTCTAGAAATTTGCTTGCCTGGGACAGAGGACCTCTTAAAGGATTGTGAATCACTGGAAAACAAAAAACAAAAAACAAAAACAAAAACAAAAAACAGCCTTGCACTACAATCACCAGACAAAAGCCCATCACATGCCCACCACACACATAACCATCCATTCACCCACCCATGCATTGTTGAGATTACCCCTCACCTCTTGCAAGCCTGCCTGTGGGTTGTCAAGCCACTCTGCTGCTCCTTGCAACCCGGCCCTTTCTGCTGCGGCCAACAGCACTTGTCTGGAGTGGACACAAGAGCAATCCAAAAGGAAAAAAAGAGCAACACATCGATTCTCTCATCACCTCTGGCTTGACTGTGGCTTGTCAAGGCACCCTGCTGCACAGAATAGCTGGCAAACAGCATGAAACACCACCAAACGCTACCTGTTTCCACCTAACACCTCCTCTCCTGCTGCAAGTGAACTTCTCTCAAACGAAGTAATGCAAAAACAGCTCCTCCACGCCGCATGCAGGGACCAGCTTGCTCCCAACATTGCTTGTAGGTTGAGACATGTTGGTTTTCCCAACTCTGGTGAAAACCACGCCTCACCTGTCGCCATTGAACTTCTCTGCGAGTGGAGTAGTCCAGCAAAACAGCTCCTCCACCACTCGCTGCTGCACAGACCCACTTGCAAGCACCTTCACGCACCACGAGAAATTACCCATCTCCACTTATCCCCCCTGCTCACCTGTCACCAATGAACGTCTCCCGAGTGAAGTAGTCCAGAAACAACTCCTCCACCACTCGGTGCTGCACTGATCTGATCGGCTCTCCACTGACAGACCACGCACTAGCCTGTTGTTCCTATCAAGGAACGTTAACCATTTCCTGTGAACTCTTCTCACCTGTCGCCGATGAACTTCTCTCGAGTGAAGTAATCCAGAAACAGCTCCTCCACCACTCGGTGCTGAAGAGAGGAGCCGGCCGGCTCACCGCCCCTCTCCCTGTCCTTCATCCCTGCCAGCGCGATCAGCCGATGGCTGTCCAACGTGTTGCCCCTGGGAGTGAAAGGAGGGTGAAAGGAGAAGAGACGAAAGTGAGGGGAGTTGTGTCAGGCACAGCCAGCCGAGCGTGCAACCTCACCGCCCTTCTCCCTGTCCTTCATCCCTGCCAGCGCGATCAGCCGATGGTTGTCAAACGTGTTGCCTCTGGGAGAGAGAGGGGAAGGAAAGGGGGAAGGAGAGGGGGGAAGGGGGAGAGAGGGGGTAGAGAGGGGAGAAGCCCAACTTTTGAGGCGCATCAAAAGAAATCACCCAATTTAATGCACTCGCGAGAGTCCGCCGAGGCTGTATTTGAGCCCGAGCTCCTCAAACACGGATGTCATGCGCGCAGATATGGCCGACATTTGGATCATGTCACCACCCAGTACCTCATGCTCTCATCAGCCACCTCATCAACCACCTCACCAACCACCTCAGTAGGTACCAACAGACTCACGGGAGTCCACCCAGGCTGTATTTGAGCCCGAGCTCGTCAAACACGGCTGTCATGCGGGCAGCTATGGCTGAAATTTGGATCATGTCACCACCCAGCACCTCATGCTCTCATCAGCCACCTCATCAACCACCTCACCAGGCACCAGCTTGCAGACTCACGTGAGTCCACCCAGGCTGTATTTGAGCCCAAGTTCCTCGAACACGGATGTCATGCGCGCGGTAATGGCCGGCATTCGGTCGCCGAAGAGAGAGCGGTAGAGGTCGAGCTTGCTCACCCCCTCCTTGGAGGCCTTGGGGTTGAGCTGAAACGCATGCCACCGGACCTGCAATGTCATGGTGGGTGAGGAACATACACATACATATGTAACCTTGTAACATGGTAACGTGGTAACGGAGCGGTAGAGGTCGAGCTTGCTCACGCCTTCCTTGGACGCCTTGGGATTGAGCTGAAACGCATGCCACCGGACCTGAAATGTTGTGGCGGGTGAGGAACATACACGCACAGATGTAACGCTGTAACGTGGAAACATGGTAACGGAACATCAGAGGTCGAGCTTGCTCACGCCTTCCTTAGACGCCTTGGGATTGAGCTGAAACGAATGCCACCGGACCTGTGACGTGAAGGGATGGATGGGACACACGGGTGTTACAGATGGATGGGACACACGGGTGTTACAGATGGATGGGACACACGGGTGTTACAGATGGATGGGACACACGGTGTTACAGATGGATGGGACACACGGGTGTTACAGATGGATGGGACACACGGTGTTACAGATGGATGGGACACACGGTGTTACAGATGGATGGGACACACGGTGTTACAGATGGATGGGACACACGGTGTTACAGATGGATGGGACACACGGTGTTACAGATGGATGGGACACACGGTGTTACAGATGGATGGGACACACGGTGTTACAGATGGATGGGACACACGGTGTTACAGATGGATGGGACACACGGTGTTACAGATGGATGGGACACACGGTGTTACAGATGGATGGGACACACGGTGTTACAGGGACACGCTAGTCAGCATGAGTCAACGATACGTGTATCAGCGGGCAAAAAGCTTATTCCCGCCAAGCTCTCGATTCTAAGCTCTCTCCTTCCGGGAGATCTGTAGTCGATATAGTGCTACCCACCTCGACGTCCGCGACGTCAGCGAATTCAGCGATGGCCTTATCCAGGTTTCGCTTGCCGACGAAGCACCACGGACAAACGGTGTCGGACACGACGTCCACTGCCACACGCGCGCGACGACCGGCTGTCGCCATGAGTACGTGGCGACGTCGTGCGACGGTTCCTAGTTCGCACGGACAAACGTTACGAACAGAGGCAGAAATTGGCCAGGTTATGAGGTATATTTTTCGTACAACTAGCTCTGCCTTCCCTAGAGACTAGCCTGGACCCCAGACCACACTTCTAGTGAGCTCAGCTCAACACTCGCAAGCAAGGCGAGACATTCCCAAGGAAACGACTCGGTAAGGTGTTGTTTCGGATTTCGAAATAAGGTGTTTCGGTATGACTTGTAGCAGTTTGCGTCTATTATGTTATTCGAACTTCATATATGATTTCACACAAATTCTAAGGCTGTGAATGCCTGTGGCGTCTCTTCAATGGAAATTCACAACTAATATAATGCTGCCATACAGTTACACAATCTCCTTTTGATCATGCTCTGGAGACAAAGAGGTGCTAGCCATTGGAGCTACTCCTGATCCTGTAGCAGCTTCATTTCTTACGCAGCCACTTCCGCTGATTATGTTAGGGGCCCACCGCTTTAGAAGCTTCATAAACAGCTGATACAAGCCCATGCCTGCAATTAGGGAGGACACCCATGCAATCACCGGCACCTGCAAGTGTGGGGTACGAGGAATGTCGGAAAAATGCCAAGTTTGGTGGGAAACGAAGGGAGTCGATCAAGGAAGAATCAGTTGTGTAGGTGAAAGGAAAGATAGAGACAACAATCGGAAGCAGATGAGGACGATGGTTGGATGCAGAGAACGAACGAGGGTAGTAAAGAGTTCAGGGGTGGAGGATGGGGGTGACTCACATTCCCAGTGGAGAGGCTGACAAATGCCGGAGCCGGGCAGTAGCCGGCTAGACCCCACCCTGGAAATAATGCACACGTGGAGTGATCAGGGAAATGCAGGCAGATCGATTAGTTGACTCAAAAGTTGGGCAGTTGGTGGTAGGTTGCAACCTCGGAGGAAGGTGGTCGCTGGGTGGGAGTGCAACAGGATTGGAGACTCAATGCGAATGACTTTTGAGACGTCTCAAAGGTTGCAACCTCGGAGGAAGGTTGTCGCTGGGTGGAAGTGCAACAGGAGTGGAGACTCAATGCGAATGACTTTTGAGACGTCTCAAAGGTTGCAACCTCGGAGGAAGGTTGTCGCTGGGTGGAAGTGCAACAGGAGTGGAGACTCAATGCGAATGGAGTGGCAAACAGACATAATACACGAGCACGGGCTACTAAAAGGAAAAAAACAAAGAAAGAAAGAGTGAAACCACCGGACAAGCTTACCAATGCTAAAGATTGCCGAACCAACCACTAGCTTGTAGGTGATGTCGGTGTGGGGTGGGACGAAGAACTTGATGCCAAAGAGAGGGTTGGGGTGACTCTTGAGTCGACTCGAACGTCGCAAGTAAGCATGCTATGGCACTCACCAATGCCAAAGATTGCCGACCCAACCACGAGCTCCCACGTGATGTCGGTGCGCGAGGGGACGAAGAACTTGGTGTCAAAGAGAGGGTTGGGCCGCGCGAGAATGAAGCGGAAGGTGACGACATTGACTGCCACGGCGCCGCCCATCACGAAGGCGAGACTGGGGTCCCACCCGTGCACTGGGTCTAGAAAGTCCTTCACCTTGTAGGGATTGCACCTGTAAGGGGGATGTGAAAAGTGGTGGGATGGGGGATGAGAGGGGATGGGGACAATCAGACCCATCACAAAGGCGAGGCTGGGGTCCCACCCGTGCGCTGGGTCCAAGAAGCCCTTTACCTTGTATGGATTGCACCTGTATGGGGTATGGAATGAAAGGAGGTGGGATAGAGAACGAAGGATGAGGTGGGATGAGGGCGGTCAGGTCAGGCCCGTTACGAAAGCCAGACTGGGGTCCCACCCCACCCATGCACTGGGTCCAACAAGTCCTTTACCTTGTATGGGTTGCACCTGTATGGGGTATGGAATGAAAGGAGGTGGGATAGAGAACGAAGGATGAGGTGGGATGAGGGAGGTCAGGTCAGGTCAGGCCCGTTACAAAAGCCAGACTGGGGTCCCACCCCGCCTGTGCACTGGGTCCAACTAGTCCTTCACCTTGTATTGGTTGCACCTGTAAGGGGGATGAGGGGGGATGGGGAGATTCAGAGTTGTTAGGGGTGAGACTGGGGTCCCACTCCACCTGTGCAATGGGTCTACAAAGTCCTCCACCTTGTATGGGTTGCACCTGTAAGGGGGATGGAGGCAGAGGATGTTGAAATCCGGTGGCAAACATACAGAAAGGCGAATATCAAGAGTGGAGAACGCATTAAGGGGATGGGGAGGAGTGGGTGGGAGGGAAAGATGGAAAGAGCTTGGGTGCAGTTCAGAAGCAGGTGGTGAAGGGAAGCAGGTGGTGAAGGGAAGCAGGTGGTGAAGGGAAGAGAGTGCGGGTTTCTTAGTTGACCCAAGAGATGAAGGGAAAGGGGGGCCTCACATGCCGCTAAGAGCGAGTCCGATGCCGAAAATTGCTCCCGTGACAAGCGACGCTCGCAGCACGTTGATGGGATGGAGCAGGGCGGAACAGCAGGAGGAGGAGGGTGCGGAGGAGGAGAGGGAGCAGGCCTGTAGGAGAGCAATGGAGGGGAGCGCAGACATGGGAGAACAGGGAAACGTGAATGGTTATTACGAGAAGAGTGGTGCTGGCAACACGTTGACAGGATGGAGCAGCACGGAACAGCAGGAGGAGGAGGGTGCGGAGGAGGAGAGGGAGCAGGCCTGTAGGAGAGCAATGGAGGGGAGGGCAGACATGGGATAACAGGGAAACGTGAATGGTTATTACGAGAAGATTGGTGCTCGCAGCACGTTGATGGGATGGAGCAGCGCAGAACAGCAGGAGGAGGAGGGTGCGGAGGAGGAGAGGGAGCACGCCTGGGCGAAAGCAAAGGAGATTCCAGCCGTAGGGCAGGCGTTGGAGTAACAGAAAGACAGGAAGACAGGAAGATAGAGAACAAGAAGGGTGAGGTGAGTGGTTATTGCCGCAAACACACACACCCACAGAAAGCCACGCACGGCATAGCAGCCCTTTAAAGAACTCCTGGGCCATACAATACCTTCTTGGTCAGGTGTGATGAGGTTGTTTTTGAGACGTCTCAAAAACAACCTCATCACACATGTAAAGAACTCCTGGGCCATACAATCCATTCTTGGTCAGCAGCAATCCCCACTCGCTCACCCATCCCAAACCCCAATCACCACTCCCCACTCCCCACTCCGGCCTATGCCATTGTTTCGAGTTCAGCCCCATTGAACCGTTTCTCACCCCACTGGAGCAGGCCGGTTTGGCAGCATCCTTAGCAAGCGATGCCGTTTCTCCAGCCGCAGCCCCGCCAGCACCACTACCATCAAGAAACTCGTTGCAGTACGGGCATCTGTACGCGATAATAGCTCCCACGGCTGTAGCACAGACGGCCAGCACAAGAAGCCACGTGTTGGTGGCTGGGATGGGCTCGCCGGGGGGCCGGTTGGCGGCTGTAGCGCCGGTGGCGATGGCGCCGAGGATCATGGATGTAGCGGCGCCTGTAGCCATGAAGGTGGCGACGCCTACGGCGCTGCGCAGGGAGAAGCGCGGCAAGCCGCACACGCCATGGCCGGACGTGCACCCGCTTCCCAACTGATTGGGGAGGAGGGGTAAAGGAGCGGGTAAGGGGGGGAAAAGGGATGGTGAGGAGGGAGGTGGGCGGCTGCGGAAGGAAGAAGCGCGGCAATCCGCACACTCCGTGGCCGGACGTCCACCCGCTGCCCAACTGATTGGGGAGGAGGGGTAAAGGAGCGGGTAAGGGGGGGAAAAGGGATGGTGAGGAGGGAGGTGGGCGGCTGCGGAAGGAAGAAGTGCGGCAAGCCGCACACTCCGTGGCCGGACGTCCACCCGCTGCCCAACTGACGTGGTCGGAGGTAGTGGGGAGGAGGGAGGGGTGGGGAAAGGTTTGGCTTCTGGAGAAGAAAGGGGATGGAGCGGAGGAGGCCCGGGAGGTCCGGGAGATCCAATTGTAGCACGAGCGGCAGAGAAACCCAGTGCAGGGGTAATTAAGTCGACTCGGCGGCATGTGTGATAAGGGAAGCCCATGGGAAGGAGCTGTACCTGCGAGCCGAAGCCGCAGAGCAGCCCGGCGGCGATGGGCAGAAGCAGCCTTTGAGAGGCGTCTCAATCTTTTTCTAGTTCGAAAATGTACCAGAAAAACGAGGCTTCAAATTGAAGCTGCCGTACCTGCGAGCCGAAGCCGCAGAGCAGCCCGGCGGCGATGGGCAGAATGAGCGCGAGACCCGGATCGTCACCCACGGAGGGGGGCTTGGACCCGAACGCGTGCCCGCTGTCGATGAGCATCGTGAACGATCCGACGGCTGTCATCGACGCGAGGAACACTGCGCGCCAAGCCCAGTCCGGCACGCCCGTGACGACGCCTGCGGGAGCACCGAGATGTTGGGCGAGGGACAAAATCGTTAAACTTTGATCGATGAAAATGATAATCCGAAGAGACGATCAAGTGACAAACCAAGTATTGATGGGAGAGAGGTGATGACGCATGCCTGAGTGCAGAGATGTTGAGCGAAAGGCAAAATGGTTGAACTCTGATTGCCGAAAATGTTAGTCCGAATGAATCAATGTTCATATGACACGTCACGAGGCATTAGTTACCCGCTGACGCCTGAGAAACATTCACACCGTTGATATCCAAGTTGAGCTTACCGTTGACAATTCCCGACGCGCCCATGATGCGGCCCGTGGTTAGGAGATGAAGCGACGCGGCGATGCCGATAATCACGCCGCCCACCAGCGACTGCCAAGGCGTGAAGTTATAGATCTGCGGCGCCATGATACGGGCGGTTCGAGCTCTCGCACTCTCTCAGAATCTCTGAAACTTGGTTACTTGGGGAAATGAATGACTTCTTGAGTCAAGATCCCTGTTACTAAAACGGCACGGCAGGGATATATAGATGGAGAACCTATATGCTAGCAGGGACGATATATAGCTGAGAGCAAAGAGCCTGCTTGTTATGGTGTATGTGTTCGAGGAGAACGGCGGGCGGAAGGTAAGTATTCAACCTCCAAGGAGGGATCGGGTCGGGTAGGTCAGGTCACGCCAGTTGTTTTTGGCTCAGTTTGCTCCTTGTGGGGGCTTTTGTTTCTCTCACACTGCTCTTCCTGCTCTTGCTGCTGCTCTCTTCCATAACAGTGTCCAACTGCTGCACCTTTGCCTCGCTGGAGATGGTCGGACTCCCCAAAATGCTAAAACCAGCAAAAACCGTGGATTTCTACTCATACCATGTCAAATCAAAGTAGCACCAGACTGAACGCCTAAATATTCCCACTAGCTTTTTATTACTTGGTCTGCGGCATGTGCGCGCGCGACTCGGTACGTTGGACGAATTTCCACTCACAAGCACATTTTTTTCCGACACTGTAGACCTGGGCAGTAGAAAGTAATACTGTATTTGCGACACTGGCCGGGCATGGCATCGGTATTTCATCGCTGGATGATCACATTTTCCAGCTGCGCCTGTACAGTATCTGTCGGTCGCCCAACCACCCTCGGATGGAATTTTACGCCAACTGGGTAGATCGAGAAATCTTTAGGGTGGACTCGGAAACATCAACGGACATTTCCTTGTTGATAAGAAGCTTCTTAACGTGTTTCGTGTGGTCGGAGGCTGACCGCGCAACGGTCAGACTCGATGTTATGGCACGCGTCAGAGAATTTAACAGGCTTTATAATTCAGCTGAATAAAAACATTTTTGTATGATACACTCACGCACTCCAAGCTTAGCATAGCAAGGCACAAAAAATACATATTACTAAGCAGCACTTGATACCAATGAAGGGCGAGTTCCTAAATACGCATCTGAAGTTCACAACAAAGCAAGAGAACAGTTGCAATATAAATTAATCATTTGAGCACCATAAACAACTACCACCTTCTACCACCTTGCTGTCCTTGGTTGTAGCTGCTGCGGTTGTAGCCAAGACTGCTGCTGCCGCTAGCCTTGCCGCTGCTCTGATGGCCCCCTGACGTTTGTGCCTGTTGCGACCCGGGCCAAGGCCGAGCACCAGAACTCACCTCCTCCCCCATACCCCACTCCCTGCTCGTCCCCTCCCTCCTCTCCCTGCTGCCTCCCTGATTACCCCCTTTGCCTCCTTGTGTACGTGATGGTTGGTGGATGACAACTTAGTGGTGGTGAAGGACGCTGTATCGGGTGTGATTATATCCCACGCGTACTGCCTGGGCTCTGGCTTCTTAGACGCCCCTCTGCCCCTCCGTCGCTCCACTCTTGAACCATCACTGTCGCCTTCCTCCTCTTCCTCCTCTTCCTCCTCCTCTTCCCCCTCAGAATAATCTTCTTCCTCATCCTCATCCTCTTCCTCCTCATCCTCTTCCTCCTCATCTTCCTCGTCGTCCTCCTCCTCCTCTTCTTCCTCGTCTTCCTCCTCTTCCTCTTCTTCTTCCTCTTCCTCCTCTCCTTCCTCCTCTTCATCCTCCTCCTCTTCCTCCTTGCTTTCCTTCTCCTTCTCCATCCAACCACGCTCAACCCCCTGCCTACTCACAACTACCCCCTCCCTCTGCCCATATCCCTCTCCACCGTCCCCTCCCTCTCCCCACCTCTCTCCACCCTTCTCTCCACCCTTCTCACCACTACGCACACCCCACAACTCCTGCCCTTCACTCCCGTGGCTCGTAGCACTGCTCTCGCTCTGCCCACCCCGCCCTCCACTCTCCCTCCTTCCCTCCCTTGAGCCCGGCCTATTCCAGAGGTCCACACAAGCTCGGCCTCCCGCCTCCCTCCCACTCCCTCTCTCCACCACCGCCCATTCCTCCCCTGCCTCCTGATCCCTGCCCCTGCCTCCCTCCCACCCTCCCTCCCTATTCCCAACCTCCCTATCCCCATCCCTTCGACCCCTATCCCATCCCCTATGGTCCCAGTCCACACTTCGCCTACCACCCTCCCTCCGCCCCCCTCCCCCCTCCCTCCCACCCTCTCTCTTCCACCCTCTGTCACCCACCCTCTGCTTCTCCCCCTCCCCCACCTGCCACACCTTGTTTCTAGAAGCTTCTTGGTTCTGATAACCTGAGAGGTCAACAGAGAGAGGCCTGACTCGAGCATGGGGGAGAGAAGGAGGGGCAATGGCAGGAGCAGGAGGAATAGCAGGAGCAGGAGGAGGAGGAGCAGGGGAAGGGGAACGGGACCGCATCCCATATTTCCCACCCCAGTTCCCTGACCCATCTCCCGATCCCACTCTCCCTCTCTCGCCAGTCCTTTCCCAAGCAACTCCAGCCTCCTTTTGATCAGCAGCAACAGCAGCGACAGCGGCGGCAGCAGCGGCGGCAGCAGGGGAGGCTGGCACACGTGGTGGGGTGCGGCCATTGAACGATGGCCTTCGCTCTGTGTGCCCTGCCTCGCCATACCTCTCCCGGTCCTTGAACGAGCCACTGCGCTCCCCCAACGGGCCACCAGGTTCGGCAAACGAGCCACTGAGATCTCGAGACGACCTGCTCCGGCCTCTGAACGACCCACTGAGGTCCCTAGAGGACTCCTCCTCATCCTCATCCTCCTCCAACCGCCCACTACTCCGGTCCTTGAACGAGCCACCACGATTTCGGAACGAGCCTTTTCGGTCTTTAGAAGACGGCCCATCATCTAGAGAAGCAGAAGCAGCAGCAGCAGCAGAGCCAGGAAGGGCGAAGAGAGAAGCCCGTCGCTGAGCCACACTGCTGCCTGAAAGCTCTTTCCTCGGCCGCGGCGCAGGAGGGGACCAGTCCCTTCCCTCCCGTCCCATCTGTGGCGACCAGTCCCTCCCCTCGCGGCCTTTCAGGGGCGACTTGAAGCGGTGCCGAGGAGACGGGGAAGGATCATCCCCGTCTCCTCGGAAAGGGGAGAGGGGCGGGGAACCGTCACCGTTGCGAGTGTGCCGGTTGCGAGTGGAGCCTGAGTGATGGTGGTGATGGTGACGATTGTCTGTGTGAGCACGCGCAGGCAGGAAAGGGTTCCTCCGATCGGCACTATCCAGAGTGTGACTGCGACCCTTCCAGCCCCTCGCTGCTTCCTCGTAATCCTCCTCCTCCTCCTCTTCCTCCTCCTCTTCCTCTTCCTCTTCCTCTTCCTCATTCCTCTCCTCTCCATCCTTATCATTATCCTTCCAACCCCTCTTCTCCCCCACTTCCTCGTCCTCCTCCTCGCTCCCAGTCCCTGATTTACCCATCCCATCCTCCCTCCCACCTTCCATCCACTCCTTTCCATCCGAACCTCTCTCCTTGTCACTACCGAATTTGCGCATGAACCTTGACCCCAAACCTCCTCCCGAACCTCCTCCATTTTTCCCCCTTGGGCTCCTCTGGCTCGGGTGGAGCTTCGGCGCGTCAGAGGAGGTTCGGAGGAGCCCCGTTTTTAGCTCTAGCTTCCTCGCATGAGGAAGCTCGTATATCCTGTTCTGTACCTTAGGCACCCAAGGGAACTCCCTGTTATCCCCTTTAGTAGCCTCCTCAGTATGTCCACTGGTACGACCTTTGGGGCTGGAAGGTGTAGAAATGGTTCGCCTATGGTGCTGCTGCTGGTGCTGCTGCTGCTGCTGGTGGTGATGGTGGTGATGGTGGTGATGGTGGTGAGGAATGCAGGGAGGATGAGAAGAAGCCAGAAAAGTAGCTTCCACTGCTGCTGCTGCTGCTGCTGCTCAGGTTCCCTTAAGTTCTGCCCCTCTTTGCCTTCCGACAAAGCTTGTTGGCGGAAACGCGACAGAAGACGATCCACCTCTCTGGAAGCTTGACCATCGCCCACAGCCTCTGATGCCTCTTCTACCTCCTCCCCTCTTTCTTCCACTTCCCCTCCTCCTCCCACTAATCCAACCGTAACAGAATCAGCTGTGGTCGTACCGACACCCGCTGCTTCACACCCCTTCCCAGCCTCGTCAGCAGCACTGCCACTCCCCACAGGCAACTTCCGGGAAAACGTGAGTGAAACGGAGAGAGAGGGAGAGGGAGGGACCTCATCCTCCCCTGCGCCACCTCTGCTCTCTCCTCCACTCTCTCCTCTGCCATCTGCTGCCCCCCTCCCGAACCTGATCTCCTCTTTCCCGCTCTCCTCTTCCCCACACACCTCCTGCTCTCTTCGGTGCTCTGCCTTCCCTGTCTGCTCCTTATTCAAAGGATCCAGATTCGCATCCCCCTCTCGCCCCCTGCTGCCCTCTGCAACCCCACCTCTCTCCCTCCCTTGGCTTCTCCCCTCTACAGTCCCATCTCTCTCCCTCCCCCTGCTGCTGCTCCTATCAGGCCGGCTCAAAGGGGATTTGGACCGTTGATTTCTCTCACACGACGGGGGGCGAGGAGGGGAGTTACCACTGGTCTGGTTACCACTGATCTGGTTACCGCCCGAACCATTGTCATTGCCCCCCCTGTTACTGCCTCTTCCCCTGGCCCACTCCGGCGAGCTTTCGCCCAGACCTGGGCTCGCCAAGCCTGGCAGTGCCGCGGCTACGCTGGAGGTTCGGAGGAAGCCTTGGGGGCGCCTACCCCCGAGCTCCTGTAACAGGAAGGATCGGGCAGCGCTCTGAGCGCGATGGGGGGGGTTGAGGGGCGGAGAGGCAGTGCGAGGAGGAGGAGAAGAGGTGTGGGGAGGAGGAGAGGAGGAGTGGGGAGGAGGAGAGGAGGTGTGGGGAGGAGGAGAGGAGGTGTGGGGAGGAGGAGATGGGGTGCGGGGAGGAGGAGACGGACTGTGGTGAGGAGGAGGAGGGGGTGTGTGCCTAAGAGGAGCAGAGGGCGTGCGAGTGAGAAGGGGGGAGGGGTGGCGCGGTGGGTGTGGGGACAGGGAGCAGGTAAGGGAAGGGGGGGAGGCCAGGGGAGGCGGAGGGACATGAAGTGAGCTGGTGTGGTCATTCGGCCATGAGAGGGCCGATGCTACGGACGATGACACAGGAAAAGAACTGGCAGCTGTAGCAGCTGTAGCACTTGTAGCAGCTGTAGCAGCCGTGTAAGCTGTAGCAACCGTGGCAGCTGTAGCAGCCGTGGCAGCTGTAGCAGCTGTAGCAGCCGTGGCAGCCACAGCACCAGCAGCAGCAGCAGCAGCAGCAGCACAGGCAGTTGACTGAAAAGCATCCAAAGACGCTTCACCCCCTCCTCCCATCCCTCCTCTCCCCCATTCGCTCCCACCATCTTCCCCAACTTCTCCCCCACCATCTCCCGCCTCTGCTCCCCCTCCTCTCCAACCCCATCCCCCCGCCCATCCCTCACCTTTTGAGGCGCCTCAAAAGCCGCCTTCGCTCCCCCCTCGTCCCCTACCCCATCCCCCCGCCCATCCCTCGCCTTGCGCCCAGCCCGCATGGTTGGGAGCCGAAGCTTCACAGACGGCCGGGACCACGGCCACACTCCTCCTCCCGAACCTGCATCGCCACCCGACCCTCCGTGCGAGCCTGGTTCCACACCTGACGCATCCGAGCCAGTGCGATTCGGGTCGGCGACGTGGGGGGAAACAGGCGCGGTGGGTAGGGTGTGGGAAGGTGGAGGGGAGGGGGAGCGGGGATGAGGGGAGGGGGAGCGGTGTTTGGTGAAGGGGAGGGGGAGGATGCGCAGGCCTTTCATGTCTGGCGTGCTGGGGAGAGACATGAGGCGCCGGTGCCGCCGCAGCTTTGGCTCTGCCTGCTGCTGCTGCTGCTGCTGCTGTTGCTCCTGCTGGGGTTGCTGGGGTTTCTGTTGTTGCTGCTGCTCCAGCTGCTGTTGCTGCTGAACCTGTTCGAGCTGCAGCTGCAGGTGAAACTGCTGAAACACGTTCTCAGACTCGGATTGTTTCTCTGACGGGTGATCAACCGCCTGCATCCCTTCCAACCGCTCTCCACCTGGCATTTCTACCTCAAAACCATCTCCGCATGCAGCAGAGCCAGTGCTTGAAGCAGGGGAGGGGCCCCTAGAGGAGTGAGCGCACAAGGAACGAGCAACTGACATTGACTGGACAGATAGAGAGCGTACAGGCACAGGGCAAGCAGCAGGGGAATGGGCGGCAGAGGAATGGGCGGCAGGGGAATGGGCGGCCGGGGACCGGGCGGCAGGGGAATGGGCGGCAGACGAGGTTTGCGACTGGGGCTGGGACTGTAACGAGTGTGACTGTAACGAGCGTGACTGTAACGAGGGTGACTGCAACGAGTGGTGGAAGGACCGGAAATCCTCGCTGGTGGTGCTGCGGTGGCGGTGGTGCTGGGGGTGGGGGTGGGCCGGAGGCGTCTTGTTCTTCCGGAGGAAGCGGGAGGAGGAGAAGGAGAGAGAACCAGAGGGCGGCAGCGGGGGAGGAGCAGCGGACGGGGATGGTGTGGGCTGACCCCCACTGCTTCCTCCAGAAATCCCTCCTACCCCTCCTCCTGTTCCTGCTGCTCCTCCTGCTGCTGCACCGCCAGGCGATTGAGAGGGAAGGCCGAGGAGGTGGGAGGAGGAGCTTCGGCGGTGGAAGGAGAATCCTGACCGCCGAACAAACCCCGCCACCGACCCGCCTCCTCCTCCTCCTCCTCCGCTGGAAGGGGTGCTGGTGGTGCTGTTTGTGGTGTTTCTGCTGCTGCCGCCACCGATACCACTGCTCACGCTGGCTGAAGCCCTGGGGAAGCCTCTTGGCGACACAGGGAGGCACGACCCCCCTGTTGTTCCCCCTCCTGAACCTCCCGCTGTCTCTGCCAGCCCTCTGCTCCCCCCTTCCACCCCACTTCCTTCACCTCCCACCAGCCCTGCCCCTCCTGCCCCCGCAATATCCCCGGCTCCCCCTGCTCCTCCTGCTCCTCCTGCTCCTCCTGCTCCTCCTGCTCCTCCTGTTCCTGTAATATCTCCTGATCCTACATCCTCTCCCGTTGCTGCCTCGGGGTTTTTCCCTGAGGAGAAAAGTCCTCTCGTGATGGGGGAGAGGAGGGGAACAGCCGCCACTACATCCAAAGAATGCCGCCTCGCGTGCCGACTCCGCTCCCTCACACTGCCACCCATCCGCCGCCCTGCGCTCATCAATCCCCCAAACAGCCCCCCTCCGCCACTGCTGCTTCCCCTCACTGATCCAGTCCCCGTGTTGCTCCCCCTGCTCCCCCTCCTCCCTCCGCTCCCACCGCCGTCCCCATCACGCGCACCACCGCCCCCACCAGCACTTACCACGTCACCAGGGCTGAACCCATGGGGGCTGATGCTGCTGGGGGGGCTGCTGCCGTGTAGAAACGCGCGCGGGCTCATCAGGGGGCTCTTTCCCCCGCTGCTCCCGCTGTGCGTGGGCGGAATGACAGGGGGAAGCCCGGGGGAAACCCCGGGGGAAGGCCCAGGGGAGGGCGGGGGGATGGGGGGAAGGTGGGAATGCGCGCGGGAGGAGCGGGAAAGGGGGCTGGATCGGGGGGAGCGGTTGGCATAGGGGGGCGTGGTGGCACCTGAGGGGGAGGCGAAGGCGGACAGGGGCGGAGGGGGGAGGGCGGAAGGGAGGGCGGAGGCAAAGGCGGAGGGGGGAAGGGAGTCCGCGGGTAGAGGGCTTGTGTTGGGAGTGCCTTGAATCGGCTCTAGCACCATACTCAGTGATCTCGTACTCTCCCTCCCCTCCCTCCCCTCCCTCCCCTCCCTCCCCTCCCTCCCCTCCCTCCCCTCCCTCCCCTCCCTCCCCTCCCTCCCCTCCCTCCCCTCACGCCCCTCTCGCCACTCCCTCCCCTCGCGCCCCTCGCGCCCCTCTCTCCCCCCCTCTCTGCTGCTCAGGCTGCTGCTGCTGCTCCTCCCGCTGTTGCTGAAGATATCACCGCTAACACTGCCACAAGCGGAAAACCACCCTGCGCTGCCGTAGCCTCCGCTGCCCCCGCCAGTGGTAACACCCCCCCACACCGCGCTTGCGCCCCAGCCGCCCCCATTCCCCCCTGACCCATCCCCAAACCCCCCATGCATGCTCCCCCCTGCCCTCCCCTCCCCTTCCCCTTCACCCCCTGCACCGCCCCCGCCCCCGCCCCCCTCCCTCCGCGCGCCTCCCCCCACACCCCCCCCATCCTGGGAAGCTTCCGAGAAGCTATGACTCCTGCTGTGGCGCAGGCTCCGCCTGAGCGCCACTCCGCCTGCCCCGCCCGCCCTGCCCGCTCCCGCAGAGGCGGAAAGGGGGGCACCTGGGGGCGTAGACCTGCTCCGCGGAACCTCCTCTAGGAGTTCCCCACAGGCGGGGGGGGTGGGGCGGCCGTTATAGGAGGCGGAGAGGGGGGCGGAAGGGGGAAGAGGGGGGAATGGGAGGGGGGAGGGGGTAGAGGCGGAGGAGGAGGAGGACGGGGGACCAAAGGCCCCCCCTGCTCCCCCTGCGCCCGCCCCTATGCCTGCGCCCGCCCCTGCCCCTTCCGCCAGGAACCCCCGCCCCTCGTTTCCGCCCCCCTTGGCGGATCTCCCCCCCAGATGCACATCCACTAGGAGGTTCCGCCACGCCCTATAACGGGACTGGGAGGCTGATAACGTGGACGGCGCCTGGCCTGCTGTATCCTCTTCCGCCCTGCCCGCCCCGCCCGCCCCGCCCGCCCCTAATATAGCCACCGCTCCCCCCGCCCTCCCTTCCGCGGACCCTGCACTACGGGTCCGGCCAAACGCCATACTTACGCCCTCCTGCGCCCCCCACTGCGGCCCCCCTTGCGCCACCCCCTGTGCCGCCCCCTTTCCCCCCTGCGCCACCCCCTGCGCCCCCCGCTGCCCCAGCCCATCCAGGCGCATGTTTAGCTGGTCCTGGGCGGAAAAGGAGGGGGGATACGCGGAGTTGAAACTCCTGGACCTCAGACCCCCCTGAGACAGCGCCGCCCCTTCCTCCCCTTCATCCTCCCCGTTCCCCCGCTCACCGTACCCCCCCTCACCGCTTCCCCCTTCGCCAGTCCCCCAATCACCTCCCCGCCGCCCTGCCACCGCACCTGCTGCTGCATTTCCCGCGAAATCCACCTGCTGCTGCTGCGGCTGCGGCTGCTGCTGCTGCTGCGGCTGGTGCAAACCAGAGAGGTCCATTCCTCCCAGGGCGTCGCTCCCGAATTTTTGAGGCGCCTCAAAAGTCGGCTGCTGCAAGCCAGAGAGGTCCACTCCTTCCAGTGCGTCACTCCCGAACGCCTGGGACGACCGCTTTCTACCTGACAAACCCTCACGCTCCCGAGAGTCCCGGAAATCCGGAGATTTTGGAGAGTTTTTAGAGATTTGGGAGATCTGAGGGTTGTCAAAGAGCGTCTGCTGGATAGCGGAGAGGTCTAATCCCCCCAGGGCGTCGCTGCCAAATGCCTGTGACGGCCGCCGCAGCCGCCCGAGAAACCGGCTGACCGTCTGGCTGCCGCCCAGCTTTTTCAACCCTGCCTGCCCGCTGCCGCTCGGTTTCTTCGACCCTGCGCCCCGCACACTGCCGAATCCGAACCCTCCCCCACCCCCTCCCCCTCCCCCTCCGCCTCCCCCTCCCCCTCCGCTTCCCCCTCCGCCTGCGCCCCTGTCTCTGGTCCGCACTCCCTCTTCCACCTCCTCCTCATCGCTATCATCACTATCACCACCGCCCGAGGTCGGACCACTGTCACTGCGCCTCCTCCCCCTAGCCCCCGCTCCCCCTCCCCCTCCCCCTCCCTCTCCCTCTCCCCCTCCCGCTCCCCCTCTTATCCCCCAATCGTCATCCGAATCCTCCTCTTTCCCCTCCCCTTCCTCCCCCTCCCTGCCCCCTTTCTCCCCTTCAAACTCATCCGGGCTATCCCACGAGTCAACCATAAAACTACTCCCAAACACCGGAGCCACGAGCGTCTTAATATCCTGCTCGTCAATCACGGCCTTGTCCTTATTCGCCGAATCTGTCGCGTACGACTCGGCGAAGATCCGAACCGCAGGTCCGGACTGGGGCTTCCGGTGCAGCAGGTTCGGCGAGAGCAGCAGGTCGCCCATGTCCTCGTTATCAGCTGACCCGCTGCGCAGCAGCTGCCACGCTGCGTGCGCCTGAGCGACGATTTCCATCACCTTGTCCTGGCCCGCCTTGCCCTGGCTTAGCGTAAGCACTTTTGTCTTTTCACCTGGGACAGTGGGAGGTATGAGGGGACAGAACCAGAGGCACTTGAAATGTTAGGTCGCGAATGCACGGGGACTATCTCTATAACCCTGTCCTGCCCCGCCTTTCCCGCCTTGCCCGGTAAATTCAACACGCGGGTCTTTTCCCCTGAAACAAAATGTTGGGAGGCATGAGGGGGAAGAAGAGCCAGAAAATCTGAAGTAATAGGTCGCGAATGCAGTCAACCCAAAGATGTCGCGTATCCGCGAAAGCCAGTCGCGAATGCAGTCCAACAGTGTTTGAAGAATCCCCGCTTCGCTCTCGTCAACCATATCCTGAAAACATTTTCCTCTTGTACCGCATTCCCAACGGCCCCTACTGCAATCGCCGTTTTAGTCTCCCTCTCTCTCCTCTGAACCTTCCTCCCTTCTCTCAGTCTCCCTCCCCCTCACCCCTCATTTCAACATCCTCCCTCCTCTCACCTCCGCAGTGCCGCCCCGCGCGCAGCCAGTCGCGAATGCAGTCCAGCAGCGTCTGCACGATCCCCGCCACGTTCTCGTCGCTCAGGTCCTGAAACCCCGACGGGTCGTCCGTCGCGATCCCCACCACCTTCCACGAAAGCTGGAACCCGCGCGGATCCACCAGCACAAACGCCGCTAGCGGCTCGACCGCGTACGCCTCGCCTAACTGCCGGACCTGGCTACCTATATCGATTAACTCCACGGGACTGTCGTCTAAGGGTAGGTTCCCGAATTCCGGGCAGCGAGTGGACGAGTCGGCCCAGGTTTGCGGGAACACGCCGAAGTTCCACGGGATCGGGTCGGCGAAGCGCATGGGTTTGTTATTGCGTAACCGCATTCGCAGCGGCGCGAGGCGTTCGCGAACGGCGACCTCGTAGTCGTCTTGACAGCCCTTGGGAGTGAGGCAGACCGCGTTGAATGTACCGTTGGAGGAATGCAGCGGCACGTCGTGCCACGGCGACACCTCGTTACAAGCATCGTCGATTAGCGTCACGCGAAAGGAATTTCCTCCCGGCGTTCCCAAGGTTACGGGGGTCCACGTGCCGGGGGCTGGAGTCGGCACGTTAAAGACACGCTTTTCACCAGCCTCGTCCGGCTTGCCTGTCCCCTCCGTCTTCTCATCCTCCTCTTCCTCCCCCTCTTCTTCCTCCTCCTCCTCCTCCTCCTCCTCCTCCTCCTCCTCCTCCTCTTCGTCCTGTTCGTCGTCTGCTTCGTCCTCGTCGGTAACCATTTCGCTTTCCTCTCGCCATTTCTCGCCAAGATTCGGATACATTTTTGTATCGTCGACGAGAGCCATGGATAGACTAGCACTTAGGCGTGGAATAACCCCGTTCTATATTCTAAAGCTAACGCATTTCGCGGGGCGCATTTTGAAGGTGGAATGCTTTGGCACGAGTAGCGCATTGCGCACGAGCCATGCATCGTCATCGACCTACATTGTACCACGCGCCGTCCTACCGTCCTCACAAGCCATTGCAAGTCCTGGCCGGTGGGAAATGGAGCGTACTTCACGGCAGCCAACTAAAGCTGCGCTATGGCTACCTCGTAACGAGAACGAAGCTCAACTGCTTTTGCAGGTGGCACGGACAGAAACCCTAAGGACATTTTTATTACTAAACACATGCTGTACGAATCAGCTACTTACACAGGTCAAACACGGTATGTTATGGTTCAGTACGGTATAGTGTGCAATAATCCCCATCCAAATGCTTCTATTTACAACAGTACGCCACCGAAACAGAACCATTTCAGAGCAGTGCTTCCTTGCAAGGGTGCGGTGGACCAACATCCCCTAACCTAAGCTGCCCCGTTCGAACAAACACCAGACTCTGTTACGCGTCGAGGTATTCCAACACACCGGTATGTGAAAGGCGTTAACGTTGGTCCACACTGACCACCCTCCCCAATAATCAACATAAACATGTGGTTTTGTCATGCATGTACTATTGAAGTCTCAGTTTTGAAGCCACCGGGTTGGGGAAACTGGAAAAAACAGAGCTGGAGGAAGCTCGTCGTTGCGGAAAGAGAGTCAACCGGTTCTGTACATTACACGTGATGGTCAACCCCTGCACGCAAATTTTCCCTGGATCTGCTGGAAAGTCTGCACCCGTGGGTTTTCCCTTTTTGCTAGGTGCGAATAGACGAAACCTTTTCGAAATGTAATAAACATTTATACGCTCAGAGAGTAAGGGAACCTTGGGAGTCTCAAACGAGCATCAGGTGTACGATCTGCGAAACCCAAATCTTTTGTTGCACGCGACGCGACTGAAGTGACGCATCCTGCCTGCCCACCACACGACCCACAGCATCCGTGCAAACTGGAGCAAGCTGTGGACAGCTAGCGAAAGTGGTGTTCTTGTGGTTCTGTAACCCGACGAAGCGACAGGAAGCTCCGTCCCTGTAATCGCAGAAAGATTACGACGTAACGAGACATGCTGTTGTGATTGGATGATGCGCATTCACGAAGCGAACGATCAACCATCCGCCTTACTACTTATGTGATTCCCATCTGCCCTAGTGTTGACCTCAAATGGTTCTTCTAACAGAATAAGTATTCTGTGCTACAGTTAACGTATCTTTTTAATGAATGGTGGATAGAATTCCCAACTGCCCATATAGTGTAGTGCAACATATCACTTTTCAAAACAGCGCCACTTCGCCAATGCACGATAAAGTGGCATCGTGCGGCCTTTTGAGTACGAACTGTTAGGCTAGCTATTTTGTATCGCAGTTTATACAATTGAATGCATCGATGAATGTCGTGTCCAGTCAAGTGCCTGCATCCACATAGGATTGCAATACCACGATCACGATTTGTAAGTACGGTTCACAAATATGTGAGATGCAAGCAACACACAAATAGTGACTCACATTTCATGGCAGCCCATCCAACTCGGTTCTCCTCCTGATCGTGAATCACAAGGAAATCCCTCATCCACAGAGCTGCAATAAAACCGGATGGGAGGGTGAGAGAGAGTTGGGAGGAGGATGAGTTGATGCTGGCTCAAGGAAAACGCCACAGTGGAGAGAACAACTGATTTGTTAATGCTTGTAAGAGGCTGGCGTGGCCACTGTGCCTTGCCGCCCACTTTGCCTTGCCGCCCACTGTGCCTTGCCGCCTACGGTGCCTTGCCGCCCGCTTTGCTCACTGTGCCTTGCTACCCTCTTTGACTTGCCGCCCACTCTGACTTGGCCGCTCACTGTGCCTTGCCGCCCACTGTGCCTTGCCGCCCACTGTGCCTTGCCGTCCACTGTGCCTTGCCGTCCACTGTGCAGCCTCAGCACACAGCATGCTGCTCACCTCCAATGATGAAGGCCAGTCCGTTGGGAGCCTTGATGGTATCAGACCCCAGCACCACCTGCGTGCACACGATCTCCACGCCCTCGTCCTGGTGGTGGTGGGCGGGTGGTGGGATGGGGGGAGGAGGGAATTTGTTGAGCTGTATCGGTAGCCTGGTGGGAGCCTTCATGGTATCAGACCCCAGCACCACCTGCGTGCACACAATCTCCACGCCCTCGTCCTGGTGGTGGTGGGCGGGTGGTGGGATGGGGGGAGGAAGAAATATGTTGAGCTGTATCGGTAGCCTGGTGGGGGCCTTCATGGTATCAGACCCCAGCACCACCTGCGTGCACACGATATCCACGCCCTCGTCCTGATGGCGGGGGATGTGGGAGGGAGTGAAGGCAGGGAGGGGAGAAGAGCGAAGGACATGCAGCTTCAAAACTGTCAAGCTGTATCAAGGCTCGTTGGGGGCCTTTATAGTATCTGAAACCACCACCACCTACATGCTCACGATCTCCACGCCACGCCCTCGTCCTGGTTGGGGGAATGGGGGAATGGGGGAAGGGGGAAGGGGGAGGGATGGATATAAGAGATTACAATACTTCAAACTTGAAATTGTTATTGCAATCCTAGGTGACCCCAGCTACACCCTTGCATGCACACGGTCTCAAAGCAGGTACGCGTACAGCTCTCACCAAGGCTTCTCACCAGGGCATATCAGCGCTTACCATGGCTTTGTGTGGAGGCAGGTTCATGAACACGCTGTGGGAAGATTTGGAAGGAGGTACGAGCGAGGCAAACTCAGCTCTCACCATGGCTTTGAAGGTGTATGTGTGCGGTGGAAGGTTCATGAACACGCCCCTCCCTTCGAATTGCAGGTTGATGTGAGGGAAACGGTTCCTCACGTCCTCTGCTGTCAGCCTGATTAAGGAAGAGAATGAATGGAAAGGGGAGGGTGGGGGGAAGGAGAGAGCAGTGGGGAAAAGGCCTTTCTGGTTCAGTGCAGGTTGATATGAGGGAAGCGGTTCCTCACGTCCTTTGCTGTCAGCCTGGCAAGGGGAGAGAATGAATGGAAAGGGGAGGTGGGAGAGAGCAGCGGGTAAAAGGGCTTGCCGGTTCAGTACAGGCTGATGTGCGGGAAACGGCTCCTCACGTCCGCTGCTGTCAGCCTGGGAGGGAGAGTGTGAACGGGGATAGAGCGAGGGGGAGAGAGTGAGGGGGAGAGGGTGTGTAGGGGGAGGAGGCGAGGGGAGGAGGCGAGGGGAGGAGGCGAGGGGCGGTGGGGGGAAGTGGGTGGTAGTCGAGGCTGAGGGAAAACTGGGCGTGCCGGTTCATAGCAGGTCGATAAGGGGAATGCAGTTTCTGACGCCCTCGGCTCCTGCTTGGGACGAGAGGGGTGGACAGGAAGAGTTGGAAGGAAGAAGCAGAGCATAGTAACACATATCATGAACTCACGGCCATTCTTACATAGACTCACGCACTCACATACCCAATATAGAACACACTTACGCACGCGCACTCACTCGTATGTGGAGGAAAAGCAGAGCGAGCCCTCCTTTATGGAGAAGGCATAGCAACGCAACTATTGAGGCGCCTCAACAGACGATTTTTGAGGCGCCCCAACTGACGATTTTTGAGGCACCTCAACAAGAGGCGTCTCAACAAGAGGCGTCTCACATACGCACACTCACTTGTCAGTGGAGGAGAAGCAGAGCGAGCCCTCCTTGCCAATGGAGAAGGCATAGCGAGGCAGGCCCACTGCCGCTTGGATCTGAGGAGGAACAAAGAGGGAGCACGTGAAAGGCGGTGACTTTTGAGTCGACTCAGCAGGCCCACTGCCGTTTGGATCTGAGGAGGAACAAGGAGGGAGCAAGTGAAAGGCGCGAGACAAGGCATGGCGAGTCAGTCCCACTGCGGTACTTCCGCTTGAGTCAACTCAGAATATAAAAACCGCGAGTCATGAGACAAAAGTCGTCTCATGAGGTGCAAGACAAGGCATGGCGAGTCAGTCCCCCTGCGGTACTTCCGCTTGAGTCAACTCAACATGTAAAAACCGCGAGTCGTGAGATGACTTTTGAGGCGCCTCAAAAGTCGTCTCATGAGGCGCAAGACAAGGAATGGCGAGTCAGTCCCCCTGCGGTACTTCCACGTGACGAAGGACATGATGCTGAAGGGTATACCTTCAGACAATGCATGGTGAGAATTCTCAAACATACCCTTCAGCGTCAGTCCCCCTGCGGTACTTCCGCGTGACGAAGGACCCCTTTTTCAACTTCGGTACCACCTGCAGTGAGTTGATTTTTGAGACGCCTCGAAATTTTTTGAGGCGCCTCAAAAATGAAACTCCTTTCAATTTGCAGTCATGACTCACCTTGTTTCAATGCATCGCGGTCCTTTTCCTTTACTCGGAAGGATAGCATGTCCTTTCTTTAAAAATGTCAGAGCACGTGAGCAACTTCTTAAGAGAAATATAGAGTGTTTGATGGACTCACCAGGCGGAAGAGGGGGGGAACGAAGAGAGGCGGCATGATTGAGTAGGTGGTGCCGCTGTCAAAAATGGCGTTGCCGTGCGTCAGATTTCCGTACTGTGCTGGATTCACCGCCACCTCTATTCCCCCAACGAGCACCTTCCTCAGTGTCACTTTGTAAAAACTGAGAGAAGGGGTCAAAGACAAGAGAAGGGAAAGGAGAAAGGGCAAGGTAGGGAGGAAAGGTTGCCATACAGCACTGGATTCACTGCCACCTCTATTGTATGGCACGATGTCTGCCACTATGTCTGCCACAATGTCTGCCACTATGTCTGCCACAATGTCTGCCACAATGTCTGCCACTATGTCTGCCACTATGTCTGCCACTATGTCTGCCACCATGTCTGCCACCATGTCTGCCACTATGTCTGCCACTATGTCTGCCACAATGTCTGCCACAATGTCTGCCACAATGTCTGCCACAATGTCTGCCACTATGTCTGCCACAATGTCTGCCACAATGTCTGCCACCACAGCAGGAAGGTCTGCCAGCCACCTCTATTCCGCCCACAAACACCTTCCTCAATGTCGCTTTGTAGAAACTGAGAGAATGGGACCTAGAGGCTGGGAAGAAGAAACCATAGAAAATCGGATCTCAAAGCCAGGTAGCTAGCAGCACTCTGGTACTGTGCTGTCACCCACCTCATAAGGGGGATTGGGTGCACTTGTCGGGCACCCATGTTAAAATCACTCCTGAGAATTCCCAAAAGGGCACTCATGTACTGTGCTGTCTTTTGAGACGTCTCAGAAATCACTCCTGAGAATTCTTAAAAGGGCACTCATGTACTGTGCTGTCCTCCGCCCCGTGAGGGGACTGGGTGCACTTGTCCGGCACCCAGCAGCAACATTTGACGACACAACCTCTGAGAAAGGTAGTTGCACCCACGTTTCGTCTGGCCGTAGAGGCGTGAAGGTGGTGAGAGGGGGAATGGGGAGGTCACCTACTGTCATCCTCCCGCCCCCTCCATCGCCCCCCAGGCAGTGCGCCACCACTTGCCTGTTCGCCAGGGGAGGAAGAGGGGAGAGGGGAAGGGGAGAGGGGAAGGGGAGAGGAAGGAGAGGAAGGCGGTGAGAGGGGTGATGGGGAGGTCGCACACTGTCATCCTCCCGCCCCCCCCGTCGCCCCCACCTGCCTGCTGTACAGAAGGGCACGGGAAGAAGGAAAGAGAGAGGAATAAGATATTGCAAGAGACGGAACAGGAGTGAGCAAAGGGAGGAGAAGGACGCTCGCCAGAGGGCACTGAATGGAAGAGGAGAAAACGGCTGTGAGCAGAGAGAGTGTTCCCCTGCCAAGCCCTATGCTCTACGCCCTGGTAAGCACTACACCTACCGTCACCACGTTGAACGACACTTCACCGCACTGAACCACAGCTCACCGAATTGGGAAGAACTTTTTGCACTCCAACGGATGTGATCAGAGAGAGTAATCCCAGCCCAGCCCTACGAGCCCGTCTAGAGCCTGGTAGTAGGTCCAGCTGCATTGCACCTACTTTCACCGCACTGAACCAGAGCTCACCGAATGGGGAAGAACTCCTTATATGCTCCAATGGCTGTGAGCAGAGAGAGCGACCCCCTGCCCAGCCCTATCAGCCCGTCCAGGGCCAGGCCATAGTTCATCCAGCTTCACTACACCTACCATCGCCGCATTGAGCCACATTTCACTGCAATGAACTATGTCTTACCTTATGGGGAAGAACTCCTTGTAGGCGCCAACAGCAGTGAGAAGAGAGAGCGACCCCCTGCCCAGCCCTATGAGCCCGTCTAAAGCCTGGTAGTAGGTCCATCCCAGGCCGTTGTAGAAGTTTCCCTGCTGCGAGTTTCCACAGCTGTAAATAGCGATGGGTGCAGAGAGGGATGGAGAGGGGTGGAGAATGGTTACGAGGGGTGAATGTAGGATTATAAGCCCGTCTAGAGCCTGGTAATAGGTCCATCCCAGGCCGTTGTAAAAGTTGCACTGCTGGGAGTTGCCACACCTGTGGGAGTGGGCGGATTTAGAGGGGTGGAGAAGGATGGATACAGATGGGGAGGGATGGGAGAGCGGTTGGGAGGGGTAGGGTTAAGCCCATGAGCTCTCTAGAGCCTGCTAGTAGGTCCAGCCGAGTCCGTTGTAAAAGTTGCCCTGCTGCGAGTTGCCACACCTGTGGATAGCAATGGACTGGTAGAGAGGGGTGGAGAGGGATGCAGTGAGGTGGGGAGCAATGGGAGAGTGGTAAAGAGGTATTAGGACAGACGTATAAGCCAAAGGCATGTTATACAGGCAGATGTTTTGAAGCACGGGCTGCATGGCCACATACCCAAACGTGATGGGGACTTTGAAGGCTCTGGCAGAACCGGAGATGGGCAGATGGATGACGTCACCCAGCAGGCGCCCTGACGTCCCACTCCCATCCCCATACGCCACTGAGTACATACACCCCAAATCCTCCTCCTCCTCCGAGCCTCCTGCCGAGCCTGCTGCCGAGCCTTTGGCCAGAGGCTTGGCGGTGACGTTGCAGTTGCGGATCTTGACGGTTCGATCGGGGTTGATGCACGCCTTGTTGGAGCACTGAAGGAGCTTGACTGAGGAGGATTTGGAGGAATCAAAGGGCGGGTTGGTTTGCTGCACATGGGGGGTTGGGGGAGGGGAGAATTGAAGGGCGTATGTGCGGTTAATGTTGATGCAGGCCTTGTTGGAGCACTGAAGGAGCTTGACTGAGGAGGATTTGGCCGATTTGAAGGGCGGATTGGTTTGCTGCCACACGGGGAGAAGGGACGAAAGTGAGGGAGGGAGGGGGAACAGGAGGTGAGGGAGGGAGGGAGCGGGGGGAAATAAGAAAGGCAGGGGGGGGGGGAAAAGACGGAGGGACGGAGTTGGGAAATCGAGGGAGGGGGGAAAAGACGGAGGGACGGAGTTGGGAAATCGAGGGAGGGGGGAAAAGACGGAGGGACGGAGTTGGGAAATCGAGGGAGGGGGGAAAAGACGGAGGGACGGAGTTGGGAAATCGAGGGAGGGGGGAAAAGACGGAGGGACGGAGTTGGGAAATCGAGGGAGGGGGGAAAAGACGGAGGGACGGAGTTGGGAAATCGAGGGAGGGGGGAAAAGACGGAGGGACGGAGTTGGGAAATCGAGGGAGGGGGGAAAAGACGGAGGGACGGAGTTGGGAAATCGAGGGAGGGGGGAAAAGACGGAGGGACGGAGTTGGGAAATCGAGGGAGGGGGGAAAAGACGGAGGGACGGAGTTGGGAAATCGAGGGAGGGGGGAAAAGACGGAGGGACGGAGTTGGGAAATCGAGGGAGGGGGGAAAAGACGGAGGGACGGAGTTGGGAAATCGAGGGAGGGGGGAAAAGACGGAGGGACGGAGTTGGGAAATCGAGGGAGGGGGGAAAAGACGGAGGGACGGAGTTGGGAAATCGAGGGAGGGGGGAAAAGACGGAGGGACGGAGTTGGGAAATCGAGGGAGGGGGGAAAAGACGGAGGGACGGAGTTGGGAAATCGAGGGAGGGGGGAAAAGACGGAGGGACGGAGTTGGGAAATCGAGGGAGGGGGGAAAAGACGGAGGGACGGAGTTGGGAAATCGAGGGAGGGGGGAAAAGACGGAGGGACGGAGTTGGGAAATCGAGGGAGGGGGGAAAAGACGGAGGGACGGAGTTGGGAAATCGAGGGAGGGGGGAAAAGACGGAGGGACGGAGTTGGGAAATCGAGGGAGGGGGGAAAAGACGGAGGGACGGAGTTGGGAAATCGAGGGAGGGGGGAAAAGACGGAGGGACGGAGTTGGGAAATCGAGGGAGGGGGGAAAAGACGGAGGGACGGAGTTGGGAAATCGAGGGAGGGGGGAAAAGACGGAGGGACGGAGTTGGGAAATCGAGGGAGGGGGGAAGACGGAGGGACGGAGTTGGGAAATCGAGGGAGGGGGGAAAAGACGGAGGGACGGAGTTGGGAAATCGAGGGAGGGGGGAAAAGACGGAGGGACGGAGTTGGGAAATCGAGGGAGGGGGGAAAAGACGGAGGGACGGAGTTGGGAAATCGAGGGAGGGGGGAAAAGACGGAGGGACGGAGTTGGGAAATCGAGGGAGGGGGGAAAAGACGGAGGGACGGAGTTGGGAAATCGAGGGAGGGGGGAAAAGACGGAGGGACGGAGTTGGGAAATCGAGGGAGGGGGGAAAAGACGGAGGGACGGAGTTGGGAAATCGAGGGAGGGGGGAAAAGACGGAGGGACGGAGTTGGGAAATCGAGGGAGGGGGGAAAAGACGGAGGGACGGAGTTGGGAAATCGAGGGAGGGGGGAAAAGACGGAGGGACGGAGTTGGGAAATCGAGGGAGGGGGGAAAAGACGGAGGGACGGAGTTGGGAAATCGAGGGAGGGGGGAAAAGACGGAGGGACGGAGTTGGGAAATCGAGGGAGGGGGGAAAAGACGGAGGGACGGAGTTGGGAAATGGAGGGAGGGGGGAAAAGACGGAGGGACGGAGTTGGGAAATGGAGGGAGGGGGGAAAAGACGGAGGGACGGAGTTGGGAAATCGAGGGAGGGGGGAAAAGACGGAGGGACGGAGTTGGGAAATCGAGGGAGGGGGAAAAGACGGAGGGACGGAGTTGGGAAATCGAGGGAGGGGGGAAAAGACGGAGGGACGGAGTTGGGAAATCGAGGGAGGGGGAAAAGACGGAGGGACGGAGTTGGGAAATCGAGGGAGGGGGGAAAAGACGGAGGGACGGAGTTGGGAAATCGAGGGAGGGGGGAAAAGACGGAGGGACGGAGTTGGGAAATCGAGGGAGGGGGGAAAAGACGGAGGGACGGAGTTGGGAAATCGAGGGAGGGGGGAAAAGACGGAGGGACGGAGTTGGGAAATCGAGGGAGGGGGGAAAAGACGGAGGGACGGAGTTGGGAAATCGAGGGAGGGGGGAAAAGACGGAGGGACGGAGTTGGGAAATCGAGGGAGGGGGGAAAAGACGGAGGGACGGAGTTGGGAAATCGAGGGAGGGGGGAAAAGACGGAGGGACGGAGTTGGGAAATCGAGGGAGGGGGGAAGACGGAGGGACGGAGTTGGGAAATCGAGGGAGGGGGGAAGACGGAGGGACGGAGTTGGGAAATCGAGGGAGGGGGGAAAAGACGGAGGGACGGAGTTGGGAAATCGAGGGAGGGGGGAAGACGGAGGGACGGAGTTGGGAAATCGAGGGAGGGGGGAAAAGACGGAGGGACGGAGTTGGGAAATCGAGGGAGGGGGGAAAAGACGGAGGGACGGAGTTGGGAAATCGAGGGAGGGGGGAAAAGACGGAGGGACGGAGTTGGGAAATCGAGGGAGGGGGGAAAAGACGGAGGGACGGAGTTGGGAAATCGAGGGAGGGGGGAAAAGACGGAGGGACGGAGTTGGGAAATCGAGGGAGGGGGGAAAAGACGGAGGGACGGAGTTGGGAAATCGAGGGAGGGGGGAAAAGACGGAGGGACGGAGTTGGGAAATCGAGGGAGGGGGGAAAAGACGGAGGGACGGAGTTGGGAAATGGAGGGAGGGGGGAAGACGGAGGGACGGAGTTGGGAAATGGAGGGAGGGGGGAAAAGACGGAGGGACGGAGTTGGGAAATGGAGGGAGGGGGGAAAAGACGGAGGGACGGAGTTGGGAAATGGAGGGAGGGGGGAAAAGACGGAGGGACGGAGTTGGGAAATCGAGGGAGGGGGGAAAAGACGGAGGGACGGAGTTGGGAAATCGAGGGAGGGGGGAAAAGACGGAGGGACGGAGTTGGGAAATCGAGGGAGGGGGGAAAAGACGGAGGGACGGAGTTGGGAAATCGAGGGAGGGGGGAAAAGACGGAGGGACGGAGTTGGGAAATCGAGGGAGGGGGGAAAAGACGGAGGGACGGAGTTGGGAAATCGAGGGAGGGGGGAAAAGACGGAGGGACGGAGTTGGGAAATCGAGGGAGGGGGGAAAAGACGGAGGGACGGAGTTGGGAAATCGAGGGAGGGGGGAAAAGACGGAGGGACGGAGTTGGGAAATCGAGGGAGGGGGAAAAGACGGAGGGACGGAGTTGGGAAATCGAGGGAGGGGGGAAAAGACGGAGGGACGGAGTTGGGAAATCGAGGGAGGGGGGAAGACGGAGGGACGGAGTTGGGAAATCGAGGGAGGGGGGAAAAGACGGAGGGACGGAGTTGGGAAATCGAGGGAGGGGGGAAAAGACGGAGGGACGGAGTTGGGAAATCGAGGGAGGGGGGAAAAGACGGAGGGACGGAGTTGGGAAATCGAGGGAGGGGGGAAAAGACGGAGGGACGGAGTTGGGAAATCGAGGGAGGGGGGAAAAGACGGAGGGACGGAGTTGGGAAATCGAGGGAGGGGGGAAAAGACGGAGGGACGGAGTTGGGAAATCGAGGGAGGGGGAAAAGACGGAGGGACGGAGTTGGGAAATCGAGGGAGGGGGGAAAAGACGGAGGGACGGAGTTGGGAAATCGAGGGAGGGGGGAAAAGACGGAGGGACGGAGTTGGGAAATCGAGGGAGGGGGGAAAAGACGGAGGGACGGAGTTGGGAAATGGAGGGAGGGGGGAAAAGACGGAGGGACGGAGTTGGGAAATGGAGGGAGGGGGGAAAAGACGGAGGGACGGAGTTGGGAAATGGAGGGAGGGGGGAAAAGACGGAGGGACGGAGTTGGGAAATGGAGGGAGGGGGGAAAAGACGGAGGGACGGAGTTGGGAAATGGAGGGAGGGGGGAAAAGACGGAGGGACGGAGTTGGGAAATGGAGGGAGGGGGAAGACGGAGGGACGGAGTTGGGAAATGGAGGGAGGGGGGAAAAGACGGAGGGACGGAGTTGGGAAATGGAGGGAGGGGGGAAAAGACGGAGGGACGGAGTTGGGAAATGGAGGGAGGGGGGAAAAGACGGAGGGACGGAGTTGGGAAATGGAGGGAGGGGGGAAAAGACGGAGGGACGGAGTTGGGAAATGGAGGGAGGGGGGAAAAGACGGAGGGACGGAGTTGGGAAATGGAGGGAGGGGGGAAAAGACGGAGGGACGGAGTTGGGAAATGGAGGGAGGGGGGAAAAGACGGAGGGACGGAGTTGGGAAATGGAGGGAGGGGGGAAAAGACGGAGGGACGGAGTTGGGAAATGGAGGGAGGGGGGAAAAGACGGAGGGACGGAGTTGGGAAATGGAGGGAGGGGGGAAAAGACGGAGGGACGGAGTTGGGAAATGGAGGGAGGGGGGAAAAGACGGAGGGACGGAGTTGGGAAATGGAGGGAGGGGGGAAAAGACGGAGGGACGGAGTTGGGAAATGGAGGGAGGGGGGAAAAGACGGAGGGACGGAGTTGGGAAATGGAGGGAGGGGGGAAAAGACGGAGGGACGGAGTTGGGAAATGGAGGGAGGGGGGAAAAGACGGAGGGACGGAGTTGGGAAATGGAGGGAGGGGGGAAAAGACGGAGGGACGGAGTTGGGAAATGGAGGGAGGGGGGAAAAGACGGAGGGACGGAGTTGGGAAATGGAGGGAGGGGGGAAAAGACGGAGGGACGGAGTTGGGAAATGGAGGGAGGGGGGAAAAGACGGAGGGACGGAGTTGGGAAATGGAGGGAGGGGGGAAAAGACGGAGGGACGGAGTTGGGAAATGGAGGGAGGGGGAAAAGACGGAGGGACGGAGTTGGGAAATGGAG